CGTCTCAAGCGTAAGATTGAATTGACTGGAATGGTGCGCTGTATGAAGAACTGTATGTATCAGTAGTTTCAGGACAAACATGAATGAAAGAAATACAGACGACGTAGTTCTATCCGTGGTCAACACTCAATTCACAACTTCGAATCGAGATTGTTTGCGCGAACGTTGAAAAAACAAATTACAGTTATTGTGAGTCGTGGGGGTCAAAGCATGAAGGGTTGGATAATGAAATGTATCATATTCCCTAGTCGAGGGATACGGATAATTCTAGGACTTCCCAAACAAGTCCGGCATTCGGCGAGGAAAGTATCGGGCTTTGCCACTTTAGATGGCGCTATACTTATTAAAGCTTAAAGGATAGACACGTCAAACAAGAAAGGGAAATATGTTCATACACATACACAGGACGCAGCGCCGCAGGCGGGAGATACATAAGGACAACGAAGCACCTGTAACGAAGAGTAACTAATTTGATCACCTACAATACACCGGGGCGTCTCGGTGACAGCTTTTAGTGGCTAAGATCGGCACCAAATGAACTCGATGATATGCCTCACGTATGTCGATCTAACATCTATGCGAACAAACTACTATAATAAAGTAGGGCTAGACATTGATTTAGTAGCTGCGAGGGACAGTAGAGCAGCTAGATACTCACGGATCGTAGCAATTAGACCAGTGACTCCCATGTGCCATGCGGGACAAATCAAGCTCTATACCTCCTCGCGGGATCACCAATGAGGTCCAAGGATTATAAAACGGCTCTCTGGAAGCGGGAGGTACCCAGAAAAGGAGCCAACAATTAGGGCCTACTATCCAGCCATCACGTCCCAGCACGAAAGGGGTTGACGTGGAATGATGATGAGAGGTGCCCTTGAGTATCTCAGCAGGGTTGTGAAGTGCATGGTTCAAGTTGGATGAGAAGCAAATGGAATGATTTCCCCAAGTATGGTTTGACCTGATAGAGCTCTGTTGTGTGCAAGGCGGGGTGCAAATTCTATCTAGAGGGAATGAGGAGGTCTGAGGAGCCACGACATGCCACACCCGAATAGTGCGATCCTCTGAACCAGACATGACGCGAGTGCCATCCGGCGAGAATGAGACTGAATTAACCCAAGAAGTGTGCCCCCGCAAGGGCTCGCCCAATGGCTGCCCTGTTGCTGCATCCCACAGCCGGACAGTGCAATCCGAAGAACCAGACACAATGCGAGTGCCATCCGCCGAGAACGAGACTGAACGAACCGAATCTGTGTGCCCCCGCAAGGGCTCGGCCAATGGCTGCCCTGTTGCTGCATCCCACAGCCGGACAGTGTGATCCTGCGAACCGGACACAATGCGAGTGCCATCCGGCGAGAACGAGACTGAATAAACCGAAAAAGTGTGCCCCCGCAAGGGCTCGGCCAATGGCTGCCCTGTCGCTGCATCCCACAGCCGGACAGTGTGATCCTGCGAACCAGACACAATGCGAGTGCCATCCAGCGAGAACGAGACTGAAAAAACCCAATCTGTGTGCCCCCGCAAGGGCTCGCCCAATGGCTGTCCTGTTGCTGCATTCCACAGCCGGACAGTGCGATCCGAAGAACCAGACACAATGCGAGTGCCATCCGGCGAGAACGAGACTGAATTAACCCAATCTGTGTGCCCCCGCAAGGGCTCGCCCAATGGCTGCCCTGTTGTTGCATCCCACAGCCGGACAGTGTGATCCTGCGAACCAGACACAATGCGAGTGCCATCCGGCGAGAACGAGACTGAAGAAACCGGAGAAGTGTGCCCCCGCAAGGGCTTGGCCAATGTCTGCCCTGTTTCTGCATCCCACAGCCGAACAGTGTGATCGTCCGAACCAGACACAATGCGAGTGCCATCCGGCGAGAACGAGACTGAAAAAACCCAATCTGTGTGCCCCCGCAAGGACTCGGCCAATGGCTGCCCTGTTGCTGCATCCCACAGCCGGACAGTGTGATCCTGCGAACCAGACACAATGCGAGTGCCATCCGCCGAGAACGAGACTGAAGAAACCGGAGAAGTGTGCCCCCGCAAGGGCTCGGCCAATGGCTGCCCTGTCGCTGCATCCCACAGCCAGACAGTGTGATCGTCCGAACCAGACACAATGCGAGTGCCATCCGGCGAGAACGAGACCGAATTAACAGAAGAAGTGTGCCCCCGCAAGGGCTCGCCCAATGGCTGCCCTGTTGCTGCATCCCACAGCCGGACAGTGCAATCCCAAGAACCAGACACAATGCGAGTGCCATCCGGCGAGAACGAGACTGAATTAACCGGAGACTTGTGCTTCCGCAATGGCTCGGCCAATGGCTGCCCTGTTGCTGCATCCCACAGCCGGACAGTGCAATCCCAAGAACCAGACACAATGCGAGTGCCATCCGCCGAGAACGAGACTGAATTAACATCATCTGTGTGCCCCCGCAAGGGCTCGGCCAATGGCTGCCCTGTTGCTGCATCCCACAGCCGGACAGTGTGATCCTGCGAACTAGACACAATGCGAGTGCCATCCGGCGAGAACGAGACTGAATAAACCGAAGAAGTGTGCCCCCGCAATGGCTCGGCCAATGGCTGCCCTGTTGCTGCATCCCACAGCCGGACAGTGCGATCCGAAGAACTAGACACAATGCGAGTGCCATCCGGCGAGAACGAGACTGAATTAACCGGAGAAGTGTGCCCCCGCAAGGGCTCGCCCAATGGCTGTCCCGTGGTTGCATCCCACAGCCGGACAGTGTGATCCTGCGAACCAGACACAATGCGAGCGCCATCCGGCGAGAACGAGACTGAATTAACCCAAGAAGTGTGACCACTGATCACGGTCTGCATAGCCGTCCAGTTCAAATCGTAACCACATGTTGCACGAAGATTATTTGGAAACCTTGCCGTAAATTTGGTGGCCATGGTGGAGTTGACCGGCGAGAATGGCAGCGCTGATACATACAGATGCGGTGTGCTGTCCAAAATCATGCCGCCAAACACTTGAATAAATCTCTGCACGTCCATTGCAGCGGACAACACATCTTCGTATCCAGAGTGGCCCTGTGGCTGTGCGTAAGCGCTTCATCTGACACTGCTCCAGAACTTTGTGCTCACCTTCAGCCACTGGGAAATCAGCGACTGTGCGTAAACTGCACAATTCAGTGTGTTCAGAAGGGCGAGTACTTCGATCCAGAAGAGCAATCGCTCGTGGTTCAAGAATGATTTTATTTCCTTTCCAAGCTCCGTGTCGAAATCCACGGCTTGTACGTGTGTAGTCCAAAATCGACAGGAATAGGACAGATGTGGGAGGATGCATGATTCGACTCGTTGGGGCAGCCCAGTGTCTTCGCGATTAAGGAGGTATGAAGACTTGAAATCGCATATATTGAAGCGAAGGCCATGTTCCATCGCTTGAAGTGACGCAAAGGCGAGGTCCCGATGTTGCATCTTCGACACCTCGACGAAAAATTCTTCGCTGGATGATCTGTCTGTCAGAAAATCTTGAAAAGATGCGTGAAGGGGTCGGATTGGAGTACATGAATTAGCGGTGCCGCTCAGGAGGGATCCCAGATGTTTGACCACGTTCTCCACTTTATAGCGCTCTCTTTGGTCTGGAAAGTGCATCCGCATGGCATTGAGGGCATCTAAGGGGAGGGGTTCGGCTGAGACAAGTATTTGTCCCATCACAGAACGAAATTGCGCTAGAGCTTGCTGGTACTCGACATCGCTATATTTATGCCTCGGTATGGTTTCTGTCAAAATAAACCGATATATATCATACAACTGGTCTGCCCACTTCCCAGGATCGCGGTTCATGACAGTGTTGAAGCGAGAGATTGGGTTTACTCCAGGAAGATCCTCCTTAATGTATTCGCAGACAATACGCACCCACTCAAAAAGTCCGTCGGCTCGAGTAGCGAGGCTTTTAAACTCTTTGTCCCCAAAAACCGACAGTTCGTTCAGCTGTTCAGATACGTAAATTCGGATGTCGTGCTCCGTGACCTGTGGTGGAATATCGTCCATGGATAACCGTAGAATATGCTGAGCACCGCCAAACGCTTTCTCGATATCGTGAAGCGGACGAGAGGTGACGAGAATCCGAACGTTGGGTGGGAGTTCAGTGATGTCGGGAAAACCCTGCTGCTTAAGTTTACCGGCAAGTATGCGCAGAAGGTTGAGCCGCGTCTCGGGCCCGCCGCTCTCGTCCAGCGCTTCAATCATGATCAAGACAGGTCCCACACTTGACCCGGAGAGCTTCCCCAGTGGTTCCATGAGAAGTTTGCGCCACTGCTGGACGATATCCGTTGTATTCTTGAGCGAATTAGCATTCTCGACTGCATTCGCCAGTGCTCGTCTCATCTCCGGATCACGATCCGCCAGGTCAGGAGCGATGGTGGAGAAAACCTTCTCATGGCGCTTCTCGGCTGCACTGTGCCGGTCGAAGCAGAAACATGAACCAAGCCCTCCCATCTCATTGAACCAATTAGCGATCGTGTGAGCGATGGCTGATTTGCCCTTGCCGGCAGGGCCAGACAGCCACAGCACACGCTGAGCAGTAGCTCCACTATCATTGATCCAGTCAGTGATCTGGGAGAGAACGTCCGTGCGCGTCCCTGGCAGGCATTGCTTCGTGGTATCTAGTCCCGCGCCCGCTGCGTAAGTCATACCGCTGAGATCCAGTGTTTCGCCTGAAGGCGTATGAATGGATGTAAAGTCGGAAGTACGTGCGAATGCTTACCCCTACATTGGACGAAGGTGCCTGCGTCCCGAAGAGCTTGGTCCCGAAATTGTTTCATAAGCCCATCCAAAGCGTCGCTGTACCGCGTAATCATGACATTCGTTTCCGAAACAACGTTTTTCTTGAGTCTCTCCCCTGTCATTACTTCAATTAGCCACCATGCGCGAAGTGTAGTAATTCAGGTCCTCACAATAGCTCTGGGTCTCCGAGTAGTCCCTGATGAAACGCGCGCACTCTTGAGTCTGCTGAGCGATCCGTCCGACGATAATGTGCATGGATGAGATCTGGTCAAGAGAGTCGTCTTGGGTCATGAAGCGGTAAACTTCATCTAATTTCTCGAGAAGACGATGTAGCGATTGGTTGCGATCCGCTTGAGCAAGAATAATCTGCGCATCATCAACGACTGCCGACCAGGAGATGAAACTAAGGGCGAAACCACACAAACCTTGGAAGCAGCAGACAGCACGCCCAGCGCCATCTTTGCGTATGGATGTACCTATGTAATTTGATTAGTTCGCTTCCCATCAATGAGAACGGCACATACCTTCGCGATCTTCTCGATGGCAGTGTCGAAAATCCTGAGGGGTTCGAGATATGTGGCCTGGAAATTGTCTGCGATATCGACATCCGCTTGGGCATTTTGGCCGGAGGATGCCATAGATGTCGCATGGTTCTCGAGTAGATTCAGGCGTTGTAAATCCTCATAGGCATCCTGGAATTCAGAAACGGCCGTTTGGTGACTAGTCCCTTCCTGCAGGGCAGAAGGGGTAGCCTGAACCTGTGCGATCACTCAAAGTTAAAGACAAAAAGGGCGAATCAGTAGACAAAAGTACCTGTGAAGCAGGTTCTCTGGACGGTGCCTGGTTCATGGAGCCACTAGAATTCTCAAACATAGTGGGATGCTGGTCGTCTTTGGCAACACGCAGATGTGATGTGTCCTGTGCACGGCTGAGGAAACTGAAGGACTACTGTAATGAGTTTGAGTGCGTACCTCTATACTCTGATGCGACGAAGCTCCATGAACGACGTTCTCGACAATAGGGTCATGGTTACGGGACCGCTTGAGGGGTTTCTGCACAATATATGAAATATATGAAAACTCAGCATTCACGTCTACGCACTGGACGTTCATCAGTGAAGTCTTTCGGAACTTTCCGTTTTCTCTGGACAAATAACGCATCAGAGGCAGGCATGAAATTGAACTCATCAAGTCGCATACCGAGCTCTCTGAAACCTCAGCAGTCGCTTCGCCGGATCTGGGGGCTTCTGGAGGAGGATGCGGCCTAAGGTGTTCGCTCATTATGAGTCGTCGAAGATTTGTATCAGTGTGAGCGAAGTGGGGTGCAAGACTTGAGGTTGTGCGAGAAGGGATTGGACCTAAGTATCAGACATTCGGCAAATTCCTAGAGACAAACATTGGCAATACCGATGCAATGCTGTGGTGACGCAAAACAATTGCTGGCGACAAGACTGAATAAGTTTTAGCCATTCAAGATCGCCTCGCCAGCAAATGAGTTGCGTCTGTTCACGATGATGCACAATGATGATCACCTCCAGTGAATCTGACTGTCCAAGGTTCTAGTATTTTTTTTGCGTATTTGGTGTTTGCAGAAGAAGTCTGTTTGCAATTGGCCGCATAAATAGTACAAGGACTCCCGCCTTCGGTCGGTCGTTCGAATTCATCTATTACCGGCTGAAGCACAGTGATGTCCAACACGTCATGCTGTGTGTTGTGCGTGCTGTGTTGCTATGCGTTCACAGCATTTCACGGCGTTGTTGGACCTTGGTATTCAAAATGGAAGCAGATATCAGATCGACAGAAAAAATTACTGGCGGTATAGTACCGACGGATTCATTGCCACACCAGAAATGGGCGATAGTTTAGAGTCGTGTCATACATGTTTCTCGTCTCCGCAGTGAATGATGTACGTCGCTTTTCGTTTCGTTTCGTTTCGTTTCGTTTTTTGAGGTTCGTTAATATTGGATAACGCGCACGCATTCCTTTCGCCTCCGAATGTCTACGTCGATGAATTCAACGACAGAATTTGTACACGGCGTTGTCGAGAGTCAGAACGAGAAGAGACACGCTGTGTCTGTTTGGAGAGATGAACGAAGAACATGGCTTCAGAGGCACCGTACTACTTTTCATCAATTACTATGTTACTGCAAAGGTCAGTCCTGACTATACCCCAACCTGCTATCAACGCTGACTTCCACCCAGATCCTCCATGCTGTAACACCTGCTTTTGGTCGTCTTGCAGCTGTCGAAGCCCGTCTAGAGGGAGAATATAGAGCTGGTGTTGGACGCGTCGGGAGAGAGAGCGAGGAGGTCGCGTGAGTCTTGTCTTTGCGTGCCTATCTTCACCTTGCTTGCTACAACAACTTGTACTGACGCCAACACAGGTTCTACGACGGCGGCGCACGCGAGCGGGATATCCTCACGAGAGCCTATTTGAGGTTGATCAAACATGTCAATTCAATATACAAGGTGGGTTTTTTTCTTTTGCATTTTGTTCTACATTGGCGCCTTATTTTGTTGATCCACCACCTGTAATCGATGCCCCTCCATGTCCTCAATTTAACTACATCAAAATCCTCTTCGACGGTCCATATCTCAACCTATCATATTCTCGATCCACCCAAACATCACTTCTCCACTTCCATCACCAATACCCTCATTCCCCTCTCATCCTCCTTCACACCCAAGCTAACCTCCTCTGTAGATCCGCATCGCATATGAATGGACAGAAGGTTTTGTGATCAAGTATCTCTGGTCCGCAGCTGGGTACGGGCTGATAGCTGTGCCGCTCCTCATAACGAGGAAGCGTCATCGTTCTTGTGTTGGGGACGGAGATGGAGAGGGTAAGGAAGATGGTAGGGGTGGTGATGGACGAAAGCAGAAGGGCGATTCGGATCGTGTGGTTGCTGCTAGGACGGAAAGTGCGTGTTTGATCTTTGTGTTTTCTGGGTTCGGATTCTTCGTTTGTTTGAGAGTTCTGTTGTATGATTCGGTCCTTGTCTCCTTTGAACTCGCTATGCAGAGAACCTTTAACTGAATGGTGATGAAACCCAGCATATATCTCCAACCGCCGCCTTCTCCTCTCACTCACAGATGCAGGCGGGAGACTTATGTATGCATATAAAGATTTGCAAGAGGTTGCTGGTTTGACTGGGCGGTGAGTAGTTTGTATATTCTCTGTATCGATGTATCTCATTCTGGCAACGAATTAGGTGCAATTTGGACAACGACTCCGGGTTCAAAATTCCTGGTTCAAACCGCACGTGATGACCGCACGTGATGACCTGACTGCGTTAATAATCATCTAATAAAACAAAAGATACTCTATCACCACAATGTCTGATAAATCAAGCAGCGGATCTTCGCACTCCTTATGTTCTCGAGGTACTATAGATGTAACATCGGCTGCTGCATCTGGTGGAACGATCAGGAAGGCTCCTGCGGTGTGGTCAAAGGCGGAGGAAACTAGCCTTCTCGAGTTCCTTCTGGAGGCCCTTCCTTCATCAGGCGATGGAGGCTTCAAGTTGGCCACCTTCAATCAAGCATCTGTGCACCTAAAGACAAAACACCCACATCAAAGGGGTGCGGAAAAGAGTGGTGGAGTTTGCAAGAATAAATGGACAGCGGTATGTTTCCAGTGAACTTTCAGCTGCCAGCAAATCAATGACATATATTTTTATAGTTAAAGAAAGCATACCAAAGTGTTGTTGAAATCAAGTGTACGTCGGGTTTTACTTGGAGTGATGAGCACGGAGCGGGTATCACAGACAGAAAGGATGATGTCTGGGCATGCTTTACAAAGGTAAGTCATCGCAATAGACTGCATGCATGCCCCTCTACTGACATTGGTTTCAGTCACATCCTCACGCAAAGCCCTTCATGACGAAGGGCTTCGACCACTTCGAGATCATGCAGCAGTTGATGCCAAGCAAGTCAAAAGGCTCGCACGTCTTCCGACCTACCACCGCCACCAATGCCAACACACTATCCTCCATCCCCCCAGCCACAGATAATGCACTTCCAGGGCCACCACCATCCTCAGTGGACCTGCCACCATCCTCAGTGTACCCACCACCATCCTCAGTGTACCCGCCACCATCCTCAGCGGACCTTGAGCCACCTATTCCTCCATCTACCTTTCTCACTCCTTCCACTGAAGGGTCTACCTCTGCTGGTGGCTCGGCATGGACAAGCATAAGCCGCGGAAAGCGAAAACACAGTGCGCTTTCTCCTGCGTCAGTTGCAGGCTCCCAGAAGCGAAGTCAGCCACCATCTGCCACGCTATTGGCACAGCAGGAGGGTACTGAAACGATGAAGAGCCTCGTCAAAGTAGTGCATGAGATGCAGAAGAATCTTGTGTTAGCCCCAGCGCTGCTGCCAGTGCAGCTACAGCCTTCCACACATGTTGGGAGCGCCATTTCCCTCCTCAATAAATATACAAACCTCACGAGCAAAGAGCGCTTGGGCATTGCCAACTTTCTAGCTGAACACGAGAACCAGGCGATCATTTTCTACTTGTTGGATGAGGTGACGAGGCTTGAGTGGTTGGAAGAGAAGCGAGTGCTTTGCGGTGGTGCACCACGGCAATCAGTTGACTCGCAAGAATATATGATTGTGTCATAGTAAGATCATTTCATGGTACAGAATTCATGTATTACCTACAACTATGGCAATGTGAGTCCCCTTCGTGCACGTTCTGTGTGATAATCAGTCCACATTGCTGGTGCAATTCTGTCCCTACGAGCATCTGCTCGTCTGCACTCAGCAGCATCTGCCGGTCCCTCTGAATGTGCGCCAGGCCCAGATCCAACACCATCATCCTCTGCAAGATCATGCTCGTACTCGAGGGCAAGATCAAATATATCACCATTGGTTCTTCGCATGAAGTTGTGAATGGCGCAAAGCGCCGCTGGGATCCGGGACTGGATATCCATGGAGTATTCAGGCGCGCATATTAAAATGCGCCATTGCCGCTTCATAATGCCGAATATCCGTTCAATTATGTTGCACAGTGCAGCGTGTTGCAAGTTGAACAACTCTTTTGGGTCTTTAGGCCTAGAAAAAAATTAATAGACAGACAGACTAAGAAAAAATGAACTCACGCGAGATTACAGTGGCTCAAAAAACTGTCCGCATGTTTGTGCTATTTTCACTATCTACATTATTGTATATGAATGGACAGGTAGACCAAGGTTATGCTAGTGGGGTACTCTGTAGTACTCCCTTGGGGCATGAATGTGAGCCCTTGACCGTGGGAATCCATGGTAATGTGGTGGCGCTATAGGCCTTAAAAAATGATGACTCATGTGGACAGTTTTTTGACCCAAGTATTTTACACAGATAATTAGCTGTTCTAGTATTTTGTGTGACCTCCCTTGCCCTTAATTCCTGCCTCTATCCTTCTAGGCATACTTTCAATCAATTTCTGACAATCCTCTGCTGTAATCTTTCCCCACTCCACTGTAACTCTCTCCTATAACTCCCACACTCCTTTAGGAGGGTGTTCATAGGCTAAAAGCTTCTTCTTGAGTACTCCCCAGAGGTGTTCAATGACATTGACATCAGGGGATTGTGCTGGCCAGTCAAGGAGGTGAATATTTTGCTCTTCAAACCATTCTCTGGCTCTTCTGCATGTATACTTGGGATCATTATCCTGTTGTAAAATAATGTCTTCTTCATCAATTCCTGATTCTGCCATGGTAGGCAGCAAGTGGTGGTTGAGGATGTCCACATACTGCTCAGCATCCATCCTCCCCTCAACTTCTGCAAGCATTCCCACACTATTCCACCCCATAATTCCCCATACCATTAGAGAACCTCCTCCAAACTTGAGAGTTCCATTAATCTCTCTGTCTGTAAGAGGGCCCCCCTTCTTTTTCCACACATATACCTTCCCATCTGACCCAATTCTATTGATTTTAGTCTCATCAGACCATATGACCCGCTTCGAGTCCTCTATAGTCCAGTTTTGATGGGCTAGGGCAAAGGCTAGTCTTCTCTTCCTATGAGTGATGGAAAGAAGAGGCTTTTTCTTCTTTATTACAGCCCTAAGATTGGCTTCCTTAAGGACATTCCTCACTGTTTGTGAAGAAACTGGAGTAGGGATGATGGAATTGATATGATGAGTGACTTGGACAGCATTATCAGCCTTTCCTGTGGTGATATGTTGGATAATGACCCTCCTATCAGTAGAGGTGAGTTTGGATGGACAACCTCCACTGGAGTTTTCCTTGTCTGGGTGACATTCTTTGATGAGCTTAGCTACAGTAGACTTGCATACACTAGTTCTAGAGGCTATTTGATGAGTGGAGAGGCCAGTAGTAGACAGAGAAAGGATATTAACCCTTTGAGCAGAGGAGATGGTTTTCATGGTGATTATGACTATGATATATGGGACACACTTCATTATATACTTAGCAATAGGTTTAATAATGTCATAATGACACCACTTCATAATTTATTTAATAGTGGCATGACTTTATGGTGTCATAACTAATGATTTATATAATTTTAATCTAGGGTCAAAAAACTGTCCGCATGAGTCATCATTTTGTAAGGCCTATAGCACCACGACATTACCATGGATTCCCACGGGCAAGGGCTCAAATTTACGCCCCAAGGGAGTACTACAGAGTACCCCACTAGCATAACCTTGGTCTACCTGTCCATTCATATACAATAATGTAAATAGTGAAAATAGCACAAACATGTGGACAGTTTTTTGAGCCACTGTAGCTTGGCGCCATTCCTTCAGGTGGTAGCGCACACCTCGATAAGGCACAAGAAGCGCGTCGCACGTACCAAAGCCGGCGTCAGCTAGAAGATACTTGTGTTCAGGCATGCGCAAATCATGAGAGCACGCGTCGTTCCAAAGGGAAGCATCGGCAACTGAGCCGTCCCACCCTGTGAGCAAGTAAATGAAAAAAAAGTCGAGGTCACAGATAAACAGGCAGTTCTGCGACAAGAAGCCTTTCCGGTTGCGCAGGACAACATGGTCTTCAAGCGGCGCAAAAATGCGGATATGGGTGCCGTCAACAGCACCGATACAGTGATCGAAGAATCGGAATCGTGGGTCAGTGTGAATTGCCGCGGAAAGTGGGGTGTTGTGATCCGGGAAGCGGACGTTCAAGGTGTAGAAGGGAGCCGATGAAAAGAACATGAGCATGTGTTTAAAATATCTGCAAAAATCAGCACACTATTGGTTATATCAAAATGTAGGCATACTTACCTTGTAACTGTGTCAGGAGAGCACTGGAATCTTTCTCCGACGTGGCGAGATGAGAGTCCAGTAACACAGGTGTACAAAAAGATACCGAGTTGCTCTGACACGGTTACCCCATTCTGGGACTGGATGAAGCCGTGTTGGTTAAGAACCGCTAACAACTCATCAAAAATTTGAAGGTCGACGCCAAAGTTGTGTCTGATCCTGTCTGGGTGACCACTGATCAGTTCATATACCCATGCTTGGCCGGTAAGGATGGATGTGTGGTAAGGAATTCTTTCAGCGCGGGATAAGAATAAAAGATGGTATAGATGTGTGACTTGAGCGACCACAATTGTAATGATAAAAACCATGATTTTGTGTTGTCGATTGTGTTGCGTTTGCGCTTCAAGATCCATGGGTGCAGCGATGGATATGACACGCATACATATGCTACATTATTACATACTATCGATTATCTATCGCGCCATCTGAATCTATCACGTGCCGTCATCATGTGCGGTTTGAACCAGGAATTTTGAACCCAGAGTCGTTGTCCAAATTGCACCTTACTGGCCCTTTGGTCTAATCTACAACTCGACCTCATCGCCGAATTGACTTGCCTACTCGACGAACTCACCCGCCCTACCGTCTAAATTACAACTTCCCACAGACTCTACACGCTCGTCTCGACTCTCCATAACCTCCCCCCACTCCCTCCCGCACTCCCAGGAGACGGAGATACATTCGCCCTCAAAGATGTGGACGTATGCGTTCCTGAATATCCCATTGCGTCTACACCGCCTCATGTTGACTCTTCCTCCCAACTCCACCACCAAAGCCCTCCCTGACTCAGACTTCAAACCCACCCAAGACCTCGCACCCACAAACCCAAACCCAGACTCAACCCTCTCAGGCCCAAACACCACTACCCTCGTCTGCGCACTCACCCTAACCCTCAAACCAGGCATGCACCTTATGATAACAGGTTCTAATGGCGTTGGTAAGACGGCTGTTGCATGGGTTTTGGCGAGGCTTTGGGCGCCTGGGTCTGGGTCGGGGCTTAGGTCTGACTCAGACTCGGACTTGGGATCGGGGCTCATGCGTCCTACAGATGACGTAGACGGTCGTCCAGGTGTGTTTGTCATCCCGCAGCGTTCGTATCACCCTGCGGGGTCTCTTCTGGAGCAGGTTATTTATCCGCAGGGTATTTCTGAGTTCACCTCACAATCCGGTCCGAGCTTACTGCGGCGCTGGAAGAACTAGAGGGTCTGCTCTGTGCGGCTCATCTTGAATATTTGGTAGAGAGAGAGGGTGGGTTGGATACGGTGAAGGAGTGGAGGGATGTGTTGAGTGGGGGAGAAGCAGAGGGTGAGCTTTGTTGTTTCGTTGTTCTCGTGCTTAGTTCTCGTTCTCGTTCCTCGTTTGCAGCCTTTCTTTTCTTTTCTTGTGTTGGAAGGTGGGACGGCACTGATCTCCTTTGAATAGCTGGCGATGGCTCGTCTTTTTTATCATCGTCCCAAATTTGCGATTCTAGACGGTGACTTCTCCTCCCTGCCTTCCATTCCCCTCGCCTGACATGGCCTTGGAATGCACATCAGCCGTAAGCTCCGACGTTGAAGGACAGATGTACAAACATGCAAAGGCGTTGGGGATTACGCTTATTACTGTTTCTCTTCGGTGGGTGTTTCCTGTCCTTAGTGTGATGGTATGCTGACAGCTGCAATTCCAATGATGACCGCGAATCCGATCCTGATGTCGATGCCAGCAGTCCATCACTGACAAGGTATCACACGCACATATTGACGCTTACGGGGGATGGAACAGGGAGTTGGACGTTTAGCCGGATTGCTAAGGGGAGTGGGTTGGGTGTGGGGCGGGGAGAGAGCGACGGTGAATCAACTGCAGCCAGTGAAAGCGACCCAACACCAACGCCGACGCCAATGCAAAATGCACCAATGGCACTGCACACAGAAGACCAAGGAGCCAAACACCTCACGCGCGTCCTCGAAGAGATACATGTGCTAGAGGTATGGATTGAAGAGTCGTATGGGTGGGAGAAGAGGGTTAGGGAGCTTGGGGAGGTGTTGAAAGCCAAGTGATTTGGTTGGGGCGTTTTTTCTTGGGGTTGGGGCACTGGTTTATCCTTGGGGTTGGGGTTGAAGCTGGTTCATATTCTTGGGGGTTGGGGCGCTTTGGGAGAGGTGGGATGCGAGATATTGTATCTGGACTCTGGAGTATGAGTGGGACGGTAGTCTTCTAAGGTAGTGTTAGCTGCTAGGGTGGTGTGTGTTGACTACACGTCAAGAGAATTTAAGAGGTGCATGTACAGCACCGAGCAATTAGTTATTGCAACTTGCATGATATCAGATGTGCCCCACATCAATTTGTGATCATGCTTGGCAGCTATGTAGGCTTCCTAGCAGCGACGCGCTCGAATGTGCTTGCCTTGCTTGCAAGCTTTGAAACTGACATCTCTCTATAGAGCTATGTCCCGTTGGTAATTACCGTTAGTGGCCCAAACCTAACGATGTCCAGATGGCAAGTGAGGCAAGAACTTGGAATGATGAGAGCCTACGCCACAACGAAGCTCCATAAAAACTAAGTAGCTGCTAAACGTTAAGCTGTACCTATGGTGCTACATGGCTGCTTACCCGGGGTGTCCCCCACTACACCAGATGGTAGCAAAATCCTGGCTATGGGTGGTGTTGAGTTCAGCCAACTCAACAGCGGCCATGACCTGGATTTTACTACAAGTAAAAAAGAAAATGCATCTAATACGATGCTAGCGTGGTAATGGTTTCCCAGACCATGGCAGTCAACGCCACCAGCAGATCAACATCAGCCGATGTCAGCACAGTGGTGGCACTGACCACCGTGGCTTGGGGAACCAACTGTTCGTCATCAAATCCTGTGGGACAACAGTGATGAAGAGGATAGGCTTCCGAGTCGATTCAACCTGGATCCAGGATAAACAAAGAAGCCTAATTGATTGCATATCGTCTGGCGGCGGTGTTCGGGAGATTGGAAGATGAAGAAGCCAGGGGCAGAAAAAGGTGCCAGGCCTTCTGAGTGTGTCAAGATCAGTTTCGAGGCGTGGGGAGAAAGAAGGACAGCGAAGATAAATGAGACCAGACCAAAATACACTGGTTTGAGAATGGGAGGTGGGTGAGTGATTGAAGATTACGCCCAGTACTGGGATTTCCACACCGGGAGTAATCTTAGGCTATAGCCTACACATAAGTAATGGGGGGAGGGGGGCACATTTTCAAAACATGCAGATTAAAAAATATGCACTTACGCGTTCAAAGGGCTCAGACAAGTTGAACGGTAGATGAGAGTATTAGATCGAGTGGTGGACAAATCTGAGTCTGAAGTGGAGACGCTTTTAGGCGCCAGGCCTGGTTACATTTATGTTTAGGTGGGGGAACAAGGCAGAGAATTCTGAGGATCTTTTTTGAAGAATGTGATCTCTGCTGTTGCACACAGACCTAGCTACTTTCCAGGTTCATTTACACGTGACTTACAAAGCCCTAAATCAACCTGCGGCTTGCAAGCTCGCTGCTTCGAGAACGTCTGGGAAATCAGAATATTTCGATCCTGGAACATCCGGCCCATCTGAACATCCAGCCCATCCAACCCGTCCGACCAACCAAACAAAATGCAAACAGAGCGTAAACAATGCACACACAAATGTAGTACATAATATTGAACCCTGGTGCCTCGAACCTTCTTCCCTCTTACCCCGCAACATCCATCTGCCTTATGTAAGGTATGTCGTTCACGTTACTACCACAGGTAAGACATTTTATTGAGTCATTCATCACAGCGGCTGAACGATTAATTCTGCAGCCTACTATTTTGTACCTTTTAATTATTACCTCACAATGTCCAGGTCTCACCATGTCAGACATACCACCAAACACGCCTTTTATTAAGCCAGACTACACGCTGTTTTGCTCAGTTGGTCACGGTGAACTCCAGTGGAAAACCGTTACATCCCATGTGAAAGGAAACCAAGGCCACTGGATGGTATCAGTAGGTGTAGTTATTGATGACCATTGACCGCCAGTGCTTACACTCCCCAGTGTCCGTTCATTGGACCTGATGGCATCAAGTGCTCACACTTCCAGTGGGGTTCTCACAGTCCGTCATCATCCCCAAACCCATCGATACCGCCAGTAATGCTGCCACCTCCGTTACCTGTACTACCAGTGCCTGGGACTTGCGCTGAGTCTCAGTGTGTGTCAACACATGTACATCCTCTATGTACCAGCGCAATGTGCCGAAAACACTGTTGGGCCATTGGGGGATGTGATGCCAAGGGTCATGCTGTTAGCGGACCTGTGCAAGCTACACTTGCACCTCCACGGCCTCCTTCGCCTGTAATTTATCCGGTCTTAATTCAAGCTGAGCTATCTCTTGGTGCCAGCAGCAACGACTCTACAACAGATGGGGAGATGAGTTCTTCGAGTTCTCCAGGACTATCACATGACCATCCGATTGAGGTCGAAGTTGCTGCCACACTAGCTTGGCCACGAGGGTATTACGCCGTTGACATCAACACAGGCTTTGTCGCCATGGACAATGCAAGGCAATCTGGCCAAAGTGTGAAAGAGGCCTTTGCTAGTGTGTTTGGGGCTGGGGTCCGTTAGAGCCCGTTCAGCAACCGAAATTTGAACGAAATTTGCCAATGTGTGACAGTATGGTGGAGCGGCACCATAGAAGCTGATGACGGAGATTGAAAATACTCTCCCTCCGACCATGACCACTATCAGTCGATATCAAGTCGATCCTCAGCAGCGAAAGCGCATCTATGCGACTATCGCTGCTTTCATCATCTGCACTCAGTTTAAACTTCTAGAGATGGTGCAACCAGAAGACAAAGCACCAAAAGAGAAGGTCCTATTGGACTGAAGAGGAGACCGATCGCTTCCTGGAGTATCTCATTACACAGAAATCCAAGATCGCAGGATCAAGCACCTTCAAAGATGCGACACTCCTTGCAGCTTCAAAAGATATTGCTTCACTATGGAAGCAGGGCCCTGTGAAGACAATGGAGCACTGCAAGAACAAATGGGCATCAGTATGTCACATCCATCTGAGTCTCACACCTGCTCAGCCACCATCACTAACATATTATAGTTGAAACAGATATACAGCGCCATCGATAAATATTGCCGGTCTCGATCAGGATGTCACTGGGACAACGAGAACGGTGCCAATATTCAGGGGGAAGCTGCAGAAAGCATGTGGGACGAGTATATCAACGCCAGTAACAGCAATGAAGGTATGTAATTGAACTACACTTTGGTCTCCGGTCTGGTGCTCACCTTCTGCTTAAGACCATGAAGTCATTCAAAAATAGCAGATGGAGACATTATGCTGCCATGCAAGACCTTCTACCAGGCGGTAGTGGCGCACAAGGGACGGCCGCCTATAACCCGGCTTCATTAGCCGCACAGGTACCAGTGGCTGCCGAGATGAGCATGGCTGCCCCCCCAGGCATGTATGGTGATGTCGGCAACATGGCTGGCAATAGCACGGGGGGTGTCAATGACTTTAGATGGGATGAGAACGCGTCTGCCCTTCCACCTGTAGCTGGAAGTTCATTCATCATCCCCCCTGCCCCCACTTCTTCCTCTAGCACAGGAAAACGTTCTCATTCCGACATGATTCTCTCGCATTCGGCACCCCCTTCCACCATCGAAACTTCGGTGGCATCATCTTCAAAAAAGCCGCGGTGGTCAGCGGCACCCAGCAGCATCTCACGTGGCGCTTCTAGTTCGCATGCAGGCACAAGCAAGAAGGCTGCCAAGGAGGCTGCCAGCACCACTGCGTTCATGAACCTCCAGGGCTCCATAAACCGTCTCACAGACAGTCTCACAACAACGCTGACCACCACTACTGATGAGACTCGGGTGTCGGACGAAAGAACGAGGGCCCTCGTCATGATGCAAAATGAACCGGGTTTATCAGAAGATGACGCACTTGTCCTCATGAACCTATTCATGAGGAGCCCGACAATATGTAGTTCTTACTTGGTCATCCAGCCTGAGAGGCGTCTGGGGTTCTTGCAATCTATGATCCGGCAGGCAAACAGGCAGGATTTGGGGCTGTTGTAATGTTGCCATCATCACGAATCATCTTCACATCACTTGTTTTTGTGTTGCTCATTTGTATCGCTTATCTTCTCACGTCCATAGCTTCCATTGATTGTTATGTACTAGTAGAAGTTTGCTACGAATCTATGCATCATTCTCATCATCGCTCCCATAGTACTCATCTAAGTCTTCCTCGTCCTCCAAGTCTTCGTCAATATCTAAGAAGTGATATACATCTAACAAGTCTCGCTCGCATAAAATACTCTGATAGTCGTCCCACATCTGCGTCGCCAAGCGATCTCGAAATACACTTGCGCTTATGTTGTCATTGTCGCTGTCGTTCGGAGCGTGATCATCGACGTTGTGAAGTTGTCCCAGTCCTTGATGGGCAGGGTTGTCATTGAGGACAGCTCTCTGTGGCAGAGGCGCTTCATCTGGGTCATGAGCGCGGATGTAATTATGAATAGCGCAAAGCGCTGTGGGAATGCGGGCTTGAATATCGATTTTGTACTCAGGGGATATTAGAAGGATCCGAAAGTGTCGCTTCACGACACCGAAAATGCGTTCGACCACATTACGTGCAGATGCGTGACGAAGGTTGAATAATTCTTCCTTGTTTTCAGGTCTAAAAACAAAATGGTATTGAGTGAGCCGAACAAAGAAAAAATGAGCTAGAAGCTTACCTGACGCTGGCGCGACCCCACTCGGCCAGATGATAGCGAACACCACGGTAAGGAACTAATAGCTCCCGGCATGATGGGAACCCAAGGTCAGCAAGAAGATATTTCCCCCGGGGGATATTTAAGCCATCGTTGTGCGCTATCTCCCAAAGTCGCGCATCTGTAACAGACACCTCCCACCCAGTCAAAGCAAACGTAAAATTGAGGTCGAAGTTGCATATGAAGAGACAGTTCTGAGAGACAAAGCCTTTTCGGTTATAGTAAAGGTGGCGGGTGGATGAGGGGGGAAATGCGTGAATGTGACTTCCATCGATTGCTCAGATAGCATCGCGGAAGTATGGCCAACGTTTCAGGTTGTCGCGAATTGTGCGTGAGATGGGTGCATTTTCAGCAGGAAGGTGTACATGCGTAGCGTAGAAAGGGTTGGATGCAAAAATGTCTAGCATTTTGCGGAAATACCTACAAAAGAGTTGAGTTAGTAGTATCAGGTGTGAAATATACTAGTAGATCATACAACGTACCGAGAAATTGTAGTGTTTGATCGCTGAAATCGTTCCGCGACGTGTCTGACAGTCAATCCTGTCACACACGTGTATAGAAAAATGGCCAGTTGCTCCTCTAGCGAGACGTATCGTGAATCCGTATGGCCAAGGCCTCGAAGGTCATTGATCAAACTCTCAAAGACGTGGGCATTTACGCCAAGTTCGCAGCAAATGCGCTCTGGGTGGCCAACAATCAGCTCTATCACCCACTCTTCCCCTGTCAGCACGGAGGTGTGATAGGGCTCAGGCTCGTCCAGGATTTGTTGCAGGAAGACTTGTGTTATGGCGGCGAGCAGTATATTGACGAGAAGAGCGATGTAACAAAGCATGCGTTCGCGGACTGCGGCTCGCGCCTGGCGACTCTGATCTGCTTGTCGAGCTCCTGGCAGCAGCTGAGCAGTAATGAGAGGTCCCTGTGGAATAAGACTGTTAGCAAGTATTGGGTCAGCAAACAGCGGCTGCATAGTGAGTACTGGATCCATGTTATACTGTGATAACATATCAATAACGATCAATCTTACCGATTGGTTTCTGACTCCGCTTACATCTCAGACACTTCCAATACTTTGGGTTGGCAAATTTCGTTCAAATTTTGGTTGCTGAACGGGCTCTTATCGTGCACAGACTATCAGTGATCATCGCTTGCACTGGAAACATGCAGGACCTTTGGCAAGGGTTGCATTTATTGAGGCGGGGCGGACACCTGATGGCTTGTGGTCTCAGTTCATGGCAGCACACCCTGCTAAAGATGCTGCAGAAAGGGCCACAAAGAAACGCCTCGCACGTGGGTGATCTTACATTCTCTTCGTGCATTTTTTTGTTGTGTCTCTTTTACTTGTATAGATTATTGTATTTCTCTTTGTACATGTAGCAAATTATCACTTGCGCCGTCACAATATGGACGGCTGAGACATCCTAGCACAAATCTATGAAGACAATATGAACGGCTTACTTGCGCCATCTTCGCCATGCAAGACATCCTAGCGCAACTCTATGAAGACAAACATCCTAGCGATATGGACGGCCATGCAAGACATCCTAGTACAAGACATCCTAGTGCAACTCTATGAAGACAATATAGACGGCCATGCAAGACATCCTAGCACAACTCTATGAAGACTATGTAGACCACCCTCACATGAGAGCGCTGCAAGGAGCTGTAAGCTGGTTCCAGTGAGAGGGACCTGGGAAGCAGCACCATGACAAACTTACCTTGGAGCTCAAGACCGCCCCAAGACATTCTGACCAGGTCTGATAGCGCCCTGCTACACATGAGCAATGTGGTATCAATGGTGTAGACCAGCCTCATATAAGAGCACTGCAAGGAGCTGTAAGCTGGTTCCAGTGAGCAGCCCATACAGCTATATAGATATATCCTAAGTGGACTATAGTCCTAAAAGTCTGATACATACTATTCTCTAATCATCCATTGTCCATGCGGATGTATCCTGGATATATCCTGCATGAGAATCATGTTGCCAGCTTCCTGGGCTTACAAATCACTGTTCTGCGGGGGGTGGGTAGTGATGATAGCGGCTGTCCAGTCCCAGATCCCACTTCAGGAAAGGCAGAAGACTTCCAGTTGCTTCTGCCTTCTGAAGTCTGCGATATTGTGCCATGCGACAAGACGCTTCTTGAAACGGAATGGTCCCTGCGCTTTGCCCAAGCCAATGACGCTCTGAACGACTGTCGTTCACAGATCTGACTTCGCCATCAGCTATATCAATTCAAGGTTCAGCATTTACATGGCCAAGGGCCCAATACCCGCACACGCAAAACTCTGGATACGGTCGAGGAACGTCTTACCCTTAGCCATGCCAAATATGCAAGTGCTCGTGAGGCACTCATCTCCTTGGCTCATCACCTTGATCGGATAGGATGGGAGCATAAACTCCAGCCTTTGAAAAAGGCACACCTCAGACCAATCGGGGACTTCGGTCAACAGACGCAAGGCACGACTATAATGTCGTGGATTTGGTTGACTCAAGGAATATCTTCTGATGACACCGAGGGAATGCAGGAGTGTAAGTCAATTTCGCTCTTTTGTCGTCATATACTGAATTACAGTGGTAGCGCTTCGCGTCGAGTGGTGTAAAGCCCGAGCACGTCATAATAGATGGTCGGAGGAGATCCAGCTTTTATTAGAAGAAATGTGACGTACTCTCATATTTCTTTGGTGGCAGGGAGACTCTTGGGACTCCCATGCAACCCTACAAACTGACGGGCAGCCAGAGGATCAGGAAGGTTTGATTGCCTATGCTCGCCATCAAGCTCACATCCGACGAAGTTTAGTGGCAGCATTCACGGAACATTGGAAGAGAGTCCCACATCTTGTGGCCTCGAACTTGGATGCTGATCCATGCGCTGACGATGTCGATGGGGGGATTTCTTTGGACGTATCCCCTTGTGAGTACATCGAGGGAGGTGATGAATAAATAGCATCCTGTACCATGATTGTGAAGGTTAATTGACGTGATTCTTGATCTCAGAAGTACATAGTGATATGGTACCTAGTGTGATATGGTACCTGGAGAGATCGCAAGATTCCTGAGGGCAAAACATTAAAAGAATATGTTCACGGAGGATGGACGGCCACCCCTCCAAGCGCCGTATATGCCATTCTGAGAAGTTCGGTAGGCTGGCTGGTCGATAACTATACAGAACAGATATATCCCAGCGAGGATAATTAGACTTAAAGATGTATCAGACTTTTAGGACTATAGCCCATAAGGATATATCCTTCTGCCTGTATCCTGTGCAGTGAGAGGGACTTGGGAAGCAGCGCAATGACAAACTTACCTTGCAGCTCAAGACCGCCTCAAGACATTGTGATATAAATGGCACAGACTGCCCTCACATGAGAGGGCTGCAAGCAGCTGTAAGCGGTTTCAAGTGAGAGAGACTTGGGAAGCAGTACCATGACAAGCTTACCTTGCAGTGGAACTCCAGCACTCAAATTTGTGTTTGATTTGGCTGATAGTACATTCAGAATCTTGTGTTACAAGCCCCTGTCAAGTGATATCAATTGTCATGCTGATTGCCAACTGTAGCATGTTAGACTTAAGCTGCAAGCATGGACTACGACCTGGCTTATGTCAGTACAATTGAGTGCTTGGCAATGTCTGCCCTTTATTTAGCTTACAGTACACATTGCCTTTGGCTAACAAGGAGATAAATGTTGTAGAGCATACCTTATTCATAAGAAAGATAGACATGGTATATTCCATTGATGTTACTCCGGGTATATAATGATTTATCTACAGATCTATCATAATGATACTTATTTCACCCATTTTAGAGAAGATAAATAAAGGTAAAGCTTTATCATTGTCGGGTCAATTCCCTGATGCTGGTGAGGAGGATAAAGTGCTCGTGGCGCTATTGATGCTCTCAGTAGTTATCCCTGTACAAAATGATAATACACACTGATTCCATATTGTCGCCCATGATTCGCAAACAAGGGGAACATGTCCTTGATACCAAATATATCTCCATTGCTATGCCACATGACATCCTTGAGAACCTTCCAGTACACATCTACATCACTTTCGCTGAGATCACAACAGGCTGCCAAGAACAAATTGATGGCAGGAGAGATAAAGTCAGGAGCAGTATTGGAGGGGTGTGATGCAGCTTGGACGAGTAAGATGTCATTCCTAAGTGTCGATGCCAGGGTCATGAACCTGAAAAGGCTACTAAATGTCAACAGCGAGCCAGGGGAGAGTTCAGCCTGTAGTGTTTGCAGTACTGCAAGTGCTGGCTGGGTAGCAGCCATGGTCACCGTGTCAGCCGACACGCACGACCCATTTGCATCATGGCTGTGGGTCATGTGGTATGTTGTGACTGTGAGATTTGTGTTATGCAAGCAAGTGGGACGGATGGGTCGGATGTCCCGGATGTCCCGGATATTCTGGGATCGAGATGTCCTCTGGGAAATGGACACTCTGGGGGTACCTCTGTCACGGACTCCGGGGGTAAAGTATGGGTCCACTCTGGGGGCGTGTCAGCCGCTCGGCTCAATTTGGTCGGAGTTTAATTATGTCATCTTTGGTTCTCACCAACGGTGCTTTACCTTCTCAATGTTCCTCCTGCCCCTCCTGCCCCTGTGTCTTTTCTGCCCGCCCGCTGCTCTTACGAAATAATGACATCTCTTCCTTCCATGGTATTACCGATAACTATGATGGCCTCGTCCTCACAGTCCCTACCCCCAGCTGAATTACCTGTCATTGCTGGTACACCCCTACAGATGACAATGATTGGACTCGTTATTGACTGCCTCGTCTGTGGAATGGCTATACCCCTCACCATCTGTCAGAGTGATCGCAATGGCAATGGAGGCAAGCCAATGGCTCAGGTAAGTCCCTGTTAAAATCTCTTGTTGAGATTAGGCATTGTCATGGGTATGGGTAACCTGCACGGGTCACGGGTACGGGTACCTCACGGGTACAGGTACGGGTACAGTTACTAGGTACCCGGTACCTGTCCAATCCAAAACGAGTCATGAGCCTATATTTTAACAAAACTGTAATTTAATACAACTGTACAGTAGCCAATCTTAATTATATCAAACATGACTAAAAAAAACTTCCGAAATCTCACGCACTACCTCCCTTGGCAGCTATGTTTGGCAAGCGTGTCACCAAGCTCATGGAAAAAGCAGCCCAGGCCGTCGCTGATGGAAGCACGAAGCTGAAAAGGAAGGCCAGCAGTTTCAGCCGTAAGGAACAACCAAAGAAATCTAAGAAGGCACCTTCAACATTAAATGAATTCATTGTCACCTCATCTCCGAGTCCCCCACCTGATACTCCCGATAGTCAACCGAATCTTCACCATCGAGCCAGTGTTCGAACTGAAGAGGAAGAACAATCATTGTATGAGGACACTATTGTCATTGACTCAGACATCGAGTCCGTAAACTCAAAGCACAGTGATGCAGAGTCACAAATGGAGTCATCAGACACGGAGCTTGGTGTGTGGTGAATTACTATACTAACTCAAATAATCATTATTTGACTACTATTTTTAACCTTGTGTTCACAGCTACATCTGTTGATGTTGAGCGTGTGTTCTCCCGTGGTCGCTTGCTGTTGTCACATGTACGGTCTCGACTTTCGACTCAAACCACTCGTGCACTCCTGTGTCTTGGTTGTTGGAGCCTGTTAGGGCTTGTCAAGGATAAGGATGTCTTACCCGTAGCTTGTTTACCAGATGTCGAAGGTGATGAAAAAGAGCTCGAGGATGGATGGGACTCAATAGTTTTATCATAGTAGCACTACATGTATCCGCCGTGGCCCGTGAATGCAAAGCTCCGAGTCACCATCTCAATACCTGTCCTGAGACCCATACCCATCAGTACCCGTACCCGTCAGTACCTGCGGGTACACGGGTACGGGTATGGGTAGAGCTCTTGATACCCGTGGGTATACCTGTGCTGATGCCTAGTTGAGATCACCGTGTTAACCCAGTCCATAAGCATGGACTTTGCAAATTCATCAAATGGTTTCCCAAGCTTCTCCATTTTCCAGATATAATTTCACGGCTGCCAGCCACAAGTCCCCACCTTTCTGGAGCATCTCCACCTTCTGCTGTGCCTGCCAGTATGCAGGCATCCTCCCTTGGCACAGGATCTTCCATCGTGCCAGTGTCTCACGGGAAGAGAACACGTAAACGCGGTCCTGATTGTTCCCAAGATGATTGTCGACGTCCTAGTGCTCTCTGATGTCCAGACGCCAAATGTGCTGCGCATTGTGTTGAGGACGGGGGGTGTCTGATCCACTAGGCACCTGTGCCGGACCAAGACACATGTCGTCGTGAAGAGCTTGACCTGCCGTCGCAGATTGATGCTGAAGGCTTTGGGTATTATGACCTTCACAAGGCCCTGTTGGCCTCTCTCGAGGGCCAAACACCCCCTCCTGCCCATGTCCCATCCATACACGACATTCTGACAGCTCCCCTACCCCTTGCTACTCTGCCAATGGCGACTCCAGTTGCAAAGATGTCCAAGCCTCCACGTATAACTAGCCAGCTTGACCCAATGTGGGAGAAAGATCTTTGTCAGTATGCACAGGACGACATCGAGAGCAAACGTATAGCCGAACGATGAAAGGAAATCGAATGAAAATCCAAGCAGTGGTTCATATTGAACTGGTTTGACGCAGTAAGCAATCTTGACCTGTGTCAGTCGCCACAAGAGCTTGACTTTTATTTTTGCCAAGGACTACGCTCCCGTCAAACGGCAATGGGTTTCGGACTGCAAATACTTTCCGTTTTATCAGCTGGTGGACAATGTAGAACTGGTTGCTTCTCTTGGCAACAACATTACAAAGATTGAGGTCTTTGAGGACCATCTGAAGCAGTGGATACCTGCATCCCTTTCACACCCATTTGTCCTGGAATCGGAGTGTCATGTTTATATCCGTTGTTTGGGTGTTACGGAGTGCCTTGACTTCGACACCCTTCACACATCATCAAAGGAATCTATGCGTCCCACGCATCTTTGCCTCAATATCAAGCGAGAACGTGATGGTGTTCGCTCAAAGCTCAAGGCAAAACGAGCACAAACACCCTCTGAGCAAGAGTTCGAATCGGACGACATGGAGATCTTTGAAGATAGTACACAAGCCACACCAAAGCCTTCTGTCAATGCACTAGGCAAGCGCCGCTGCCAGGGTACCCCCAAGAGCAGTCCGATACAAACCCTCCAACCTCCCTCCACTCGACCGCGTTTTGAACTTGATTTTTATGCCCGCTGTGCAACCTCATTGTCTCCAACACCTCCACTGTCCCCATCACCAGTGGACTCAGAATTCTCAGACTCATTGATTTCAGCATATTCTCGATCCTCAATGTCTTCTGTTGACTCCGTCGTTTCCATGCCACGGCCATCTGTCATACCTGTCCATGTTCCAACATACAAAGGCAAGCAAGTCTGGCCACATAGTATGTATACCTGTGATATGCTGGTCGGCTTTCATCAAATGGATTCACCAGTCCTCTGCAAACACTATCCCCAAGACAAGCTCTTTAACCTCGTGTTCGGTGTTCCATTCGTCCACGCAACCTACCATCAAAACCGCTTGGCCTGGGCCAACAGCAAGTGTGTTCCATCTCTCACATCCATCCTTCGTGGTCATGAACGTGCTGGATTAGCAGTCTTCATCCTCTGGGTCTTGCTCTTTCCGCTCCGTGAGAGCACTGCTTTCGCATCCTCCATCTTCATGTGAAGCGGGTCACTGCAGGTTTTGCGCAGCTTATCACTTTGACCACGACAGCTAACAGGTTGGTCACACCCATTGACAGCACATATCATTTTGAGCTGGCCATGACTGAGGTCAGCCGAACAAAAGTGATTGCGAGTGCTGGCAAGGGCATTTTTGCAGTGTGGCATGGCACAACATGGCCGTCCAACGGTGATACCATCAGTGACAATGACCTCGGCATAGCGTGTGGTGCCATCAGGCATGGAAAAGAGGTGCATGCATCCATAGCATGCATGTGGGAGCTCATCTTGGCCTTCAGTAATAATCCTCTCATTTCGGGCACGCATAGCAGCAGTGTAGCGAGCACTCTGAGAATTGCCATGGGGCACACAAAGTCTTGTATTCTGAAGCTGGTGGTCATCGAGGAGTGCTAAGACAGTGAATGCATCCCATACTTCCTCAGTTGTGACAGTCATGCTAAACTGCCATTCGTGGGTGACATTTTCGTGTCGAGCTTGTGCCTCGTTGTACAGACGAGCACAGTTGGTAGCAGAGACACTGTGAAACAGGTTGGAAACATGAATGAGAGCTCATAAAAACACTCACAGGATTTGCATCAGGTCGATCCAGTGCATTGCAAGCTCACATTCGACGAACTGATGCTCCCCAATTTGGATGTATTTTGGTACACTGGAATAATACTGCCTTGATGTCCCGTGAATGGCGTAATTGTTGTGGTAATTTACCTTGCAGGCTGATGAAGTCAAGATCAGCTGGAGTTGGAGTCGAACATAGAAACTTACATCTGCATTTTAAATGGACAGACCATGCACAGTGAACACCGAATGCATGAGTGAAGATGACAACACGACGGGGCTCGTCCTTTTTCAGTGGTCTTGCACATTGTACAGCAATGCAGTCTGGGTTCACGCACATCTTCATCGGAGGATACAGAACATAGGCCGCTATGAATTTATTTGAGCATGGAGTACAGTTCCATCGAATCAATACTCACAGATGCCTTGGTCCTGGCCATGGTGTTGAAACATTGTCTCAATAGCCTCGTGTTCCTCACTGTCAGCAGGAAGGGTCCATGCGACATGTTTGACTGCATCCCACAGCATATCAACTGCGTCACAGGATATATCAAAGGATCTGCTAAAAAAAATCAGTGATTCCCGGAGGTAGAACGTCAGGGGCAGTGGTGACAGGAACACCATGAGGCTGAGGGAGGAGTATATCGTCCTTGATCATGCTCGCACAGCAAAGGAAGCGTGTCAGAGCAATGTATGAAATGTCCTGCAATTCGGGGTGATGGCTTAGATCAAGAGCTGGGAATGGAGTCCTGACATCCATGAAGCAGGCTGTTGTTGTAAAAGGTCGTGATTGTGGTGGTTGGTGTTCACGGTGGCTGTGGCTGACAGCGTTGAGGCTAATGTCAGCTATGACGGGGTGTGCGACGTCACGTGCCAAGGGTGGGCGGGCAACCAAGACACTGAGGGCGGGAGGGGCGGGAGGAACATTGGGAAGGTACAGCAAGCTGGTGAGAACCACAGCTGACAAAATTAAACTCCGACAGAATTGAACCAAGCGGCTGACATGCCCCCAGAGTCGCCCCCAGAGTGGACCCATACAAAACCCCCAGAGTCTGTGACAGAGGTACCCCCAGAGTGTCCATTAGCCTGACTTTCTGGCTGCTTCGTTGATCATCCATTTACTTACTTGTGAATTGCAAATAGCAACAACGTCATCTCCAGCTTCGCATGTATGGTGTCCTTGTAGTCTACATATCTAGTATTGCTACACCAAACAGTGTCAGTTAGTTCGAGTGATATCAGCAGAAGAGATTTGATCGGTAAAATCACCACAAACACATCCGATATGACATGGATCAAGGTGAGGAAGGGGAGAAGACTTACTTGTACATCACCCAATCGCCCAACTCAGTCGAGAGGCCCCAAGCCAAGTGGGGCTGAGATCGAATGCTTGTGTGTCATTGGGGGAGCAAAAAATAGTCTCGTGATGTTTCATAAGATAATCAGTACACCTTGAATTCATTGAGTCAGAACAAATTCAAACATACTGTGAAGGTACAAGCAACTGAAACTTTGTTTTTGTCATTTCTCACAAAATTTTCAGTGGTGCAGGTGGGGGTTGTACAGCTAGACTTCTGTCTGTGGGAATCGATCACAAGCACAGTGTTTGGACGTGCTGGATTGCTATGCTCAATCTCGATGCACCACATCCCATTAATTCCATGTAGAAGCGCAACCACCATATATGTCCTGCAAGGATTGGTGTCATCGCATCAGCGTAAGGAACAAAGCGAGAGACATGAACCACACACCGCCCACAACTAATTCATAGTGCATGTCTCTTGTAGTGCGCAGGTGTTTCTGGAACATCCTGATCTGCAAAGAAACAATGAACTGGTTCACAGGTTTATCACATGCATGTACCCAAATATCATCTGGCGGGCATCCCAAAGTGTCTCAAACACTTGTTCTCGGCTGATTCCAGGATCTTGTCTGGGTGCGTTGCTGATATTTTGTTCTACACGAACTTCTCAAGTATGCTAAGGCATATTAATTTAGTGAGGTCAACCAGTGACACAACCTTCATGTCATTATACCATGGTTCTGCTAATTCATCGTGATATCATGCATTCACAATGATTGTTGCTGAAACAACAATATTGCATTGTGTGACTGAGCGCTTGACCTACAGTTTTAAGGTTGCACTTGATGCGCATTCTCGATCTATTCTACCAGGGTTGCTTGCATTCAGTATAAACCTATCTCGTACTTTGCAGATAGTTGTCACCCTCACAATATTCATGAGCACCAATAAGAGATATATAAGAGCCATGATATTATAGGAAGGACACGTTAAAGAGTTTTGCGGTCATATTTCTCGGAGGAATACTGCATAATCACCGAACACACCTTTCATAGCATGATAGATCCATTAATATCTATCACAAAGCCACAAACATTGAAACACACCATGGCGCTAGTGAGAGCCACCATTTCAACGGGTAACTCCACCTCATCATGATGATCCTCCAGTGTCGATGTTAAATCATCGTGCCACTTTAGTCCCGCTGCGAGCTCGTCACTGAAGAAAGCATCTTCGATAGTGTCCAAAACCATGGGTGCTTGAAAAGGTTTGGTTCAAATAAGATCCCCCTGTAATGCAGCATCAACCCCGACAGTGACAGCCAATATCAGCATAGTACAAACCTTTGTATTGACAGGATAGATGTAAGCATTGTTTTTAAGAAGCTCCGCAACCCTCTCGTCGGCACCTTTTGTTAGCTGATAGTGGCTGGCCACATGTGCTTGTGCTGCCTTTCAAATGTTCCTGTGGATGCTCCCAATCTGACCTTCGGGCTGCAAGTTAAGACGGCAGTTAATAAACTGAAACCGAATACGACAAAAATGCACCACTGATGATAACACACGCACATACTTAGGGTCCTTTGCAAGGCATTTTCTCACTGCATCAAACTCCTCACCATCCTTGGTACACGACATAAGGATGTTGGCCATCAGCTTTCTCTGTTGCTGTAGTTCTGGGTATGCGTTTTTGAACAAGAGATGTTTGTGAAGGCAAGTAATTGAGGCGAGGATCATGTCTTGAATGTGAGCTTGCTGATCTGTTAGATTGACCTTGCCTGAACCACTGTACACAATACGACAATGAGCAGGCCAGTCATCCTCACACAAACGAACAGACTTTGCAGTCACTTCAAGTTGTTCATCCACAGGCGGTCCATCACTGATGGTATGGTCAACCTCAGGTGTGCATCAAGTTGGTTTCTAAATAAATAAGTGCTGTGAGCGAATCTCCAAGTCAGTCAACAGCCAGGACACTATTGCACCTCTTGTTCTCTTTTCTGAAGGCGTTTACCTCCTTTCAATGCCCCTTGTTCATTTGTCTTACTGTAACTTTTCTGCTTCAAAGGACGGTAGCGAGGCCCAGATAAGTTCTTGCTGGTCAGACCCTTATCCTTGCCAAGGCCATCATTATCAGAATCTGATGGTGTACTTGCAATTGACCTCATTGACGAGGTAAAACTATTCGCCCAAGAATGTGAGTTAACACTAGTAGTGCCGCCATTGGTTTTGTCGTGTGGTGCAAATAGAGGCTGCTATGAACTGAGTCAAGGAATGTTCAATCATAGGTGACTGTATTGATGACATACCTCGTAGTCAAGGGTAGCCTTGAGCTTCTTCGAGTTGAGTCCCTGAATATCTTTATCCAATTCCTCAAGTTTGTTGTCTGACTCATTTCCACTATTCAAATCAGATAAGTCACCATCGCTCCCATCAGGCTTGAAGTTATCTGACTTGGAGTCAGAGTCAAAAAGCTGCACTGCGCTCCGTGGAGCACCGCTCTCCTGTTCCAGTCTCCGATTGACTGGAGGAGGCGATTTGTTTCCTGCGTTCATAGATATATCAATCTTGCGGAATCAAAAGTAGACACTCACAAATTCATGCCTGCTTGGGTATGTCGGGCTCAGCAATGTTAGATGCTGCGCACTTGCATGGATTCTTCTCTGACATCCAAACTGTGATTCAACTCTGTCAGTAGTGTCGAATAATTCCATTGGACAAAGCCACACGTACCTTGATTTTTCAGCGCATCACTCTTGGCTTGTCGGACTGGGCCTGTGCAGATCAGTCAATGAACGCGAATGAGGTGAAAAAAACATATGCACTGAAGTCGTGAGTTGATTCTTGCTTTTCAACTTAGCTGCTCGCATTACTGCAGCCTTCTCGGTTGGTGTGAGTGGTGCTTGGGACATAATGCAAAACAAGGACTCGGAAATCAGTGTCAGTGTGCGGGTGAAAAAAATTACTTACAAATTTGGCACACTCCGCTATCTCCCGATACCTGTTGGCCCTACCGCATCAAACATTATTCTGCACTCACCATTGATATTCTGCACTCACCATTGAATCATGCCAATCTGTGATGGCTGTGGTTGCACTTTCACGGAGAGTGGTTACTCTCGTCATCTCACACAAACTAGAAATCCAGCCTGTGTCAGTATCTATGATGATATGTACAACTACATGCCTAGTCACTCACAAGAGGTAATGTTGCCATCAGTACATGGACGTGCATCAATCTGACATGAATTTCGGCAACAAGATATTTGAGGACTTTGACAGTGATCACCTCCCTGGCAACTCCAGTCTTCAATCACCGGAAGACAAGGACCCAGAAGATCGATTGGAATGGAATGTGGATGAGGACAAGGACAACTTGGAGGAAGTTGATAATGACGGTTGGGTGGCTGAGCAGGAAGCTGATTGGGAACCTCCTATTCAAGGTGCCGAAGAACCGGCTGGCATCAATGACGAGAATATTCCCATGGACGAAGAAGACACAGTGGCTGACCTGGATCAACGCACACATACATGTCATTATGAGGCAGAGCTCCCCTTGCACCAGGGTCGGAAATTCAGTGACGACTGTCTCACAATGTGCAGATACTTGTCGGTTATCTTCCAACAACCAAGCTCGAACACATCACCAACAAAGCTGCAAGGCGACGGTGTCTTGTAAATTTGTTCCATGCATACATGCGTCATATTGTCTCGCCACTTGTTGACCCAGGGAAGTATGGGATGCCGATAGCCAGTGGTGATGGGACCGTTCATCGTGGTCATCCTCTCGTTGCATGTTATATCGGAGATTACCCAGAGCAACTCTTAGTGACTGGAATGAAGACTGGAGAGTGTCCGAAATGTGAAATACCTTCGACCAAGCTCGGTAGCAAAGACCTTCCATTTGAGCTGTGGAATTTGGATGAAATCTTGGACGCACTGGCATTAGCTGATGAAGATCCAACTCAGTTTGCGGAGGCTTGTCGTGATGCCAGTAAGTGTCTTCCAGTCCTATCACACTCGTCGTGTTACTGACTGGTAACATATCACTGACAGGTATCAAACCTCTATACCATCCGTTCTGGGAGGAACTGCCGCACTGTAATGTATATAATGTGATTACACCAGATGTCCTCCATCAGTTATATCAAGGGCTGGTGTTAGGTACTGTGCCGGCTCAAGAGGCAGAGGGGTCGGGGCTTGGCTTCAGCTCTTGCACTGTGCCCTTAGCCGAGTACGTGCCCTGAATTTGGTGGAGGTCTGACGTTGTCTGACAATAGGACGAGTGGACCGCTTGGGTCCGCTTTGAGGGTCGGGGAGTAAGAGCTACTAGCGGCGGGCCGACTAGGAGCGGAGCAGAGAAGGTGGGGAGTGATGCGGAGGGTGGATAGGAACAAGGGGAATGTTTGGTAGGGTCAGGGAAGGTGGAGGATAATGCAGAGGGACAAAGGAGAATATTTGATAGGGGCAGAGTAATAAGGGAAAGACTTAGAGCACGGCTCTAAGTCGGAGTGGAGGGTCGGAGGGTCGGAGGTGACAACAAGTTGAGACTTGTGTCCAGAGGAGGCAAGGTCCTACTGAGAATTCTCACAAGAGGTAACTGCGAGAAGACAAGTAATATTAAGACTGAGGAAAATATCTAAGTATATGATATGTTATATACTTCTATGTATGAGGCAGTGACCAGGATAACTATGTTGTAAAGCTATGTACCAAGGATATAATTTGTAAGTACTTACACAGGTGAAGACACAAGTTGGAGCGGATATCAATATGTACGCGTTGGATCAGCGATTGAGCGGTAGTAGGAATTACCGGTGATCCGGAAGTAAGGGTCTATGTACTGAAAGGGAAAGCATATATCTAAAAGGGGAAAGAGGTCCAGTTGAATGGAGATGTTATGGAAGGGGACCGGTTGAGCAGTTGAGCAGAAGCGTAGGGTGGAATGCAGACTTGTGATTGGATGGAGCGGAGGATGGATGGGGTGGAGGGGGTCGGAAAGCGGAGCGGATATTGATATTAGAGTGGTCAGATCAGGTATATGACAGTACTGTGCGAGATACAAAAAGTACATAGCTTTACAACATAACATAGAAGTATATAACATATCATGTACTTAGATATTTTCCTCAGTCTTAATATTACTTGTCTTCTCGCAGTTACCTCTTGTGAGAATTCTCAGTAGGACCTTGCCTCCTCTGGACACAAGTCTCAACTTGTTGTCACCTCCGACCCTCCGACCCTCCACTCCGACTTAGAGCCGTGCTCTAAGTCTTTCCCTTATTACTCTGCCCCTATCAAATATTCTCCTTTGTCCCTCTGCATTATCCTCCACCTTCCCTGACCCTACCAAACATTCCCCTTATTCTTATCCACCCTCCACATCACTCCCCACCTTCTCTGCTCTGCTCCTAGTCGGCCCGCCGCTAGTAGCTCTTACTCCTCAACCCTCAAAGCGGACCCAAGCGGTCCACTCATCCTATTGTCGGACAACGTTGGACCCGCACCAAATTCAGGGCACGTACTCGGCTAAGGGCACAGTGCAAGAGCTGAAGCCAAGCCCCGACCCCTCTGCCTCTTGAGCCGGCACGGTACCTGACAAGTACCCATGTCACTCTGCTTTAACGTTGACGCTACTCAGTGAGGCACTCAATCAATTTCACGATAACAAAGCTATCTTTGTGGACCTGGGCATCTGTTTGTCATTCAACCTCCCCAAGCTTCATTCTTTCCGACACTATGTCACAATGATTTGCATGTTCGGAACCACGGATAATTACAACACGGAATATACCGAACGGCTTCACATTGACCTAGCAAAGGATGCGTACTGTGCAACAAATCACAAGGACAAATACATGCAAATGACACTGTGGCTCGAGCAACGAGAGAAAATGTTGTGGCATGCCAAGTTTATTGAATGGCAACTGCATGTGGGACCTGCCGCATCATCAGATCATGTCCCTCGCCCCCTAGCCCACTCCGACCTCGTATATCTCCGACAACCCAAGCTAGCGAAGCACCCGTCTGTTAAACAGGTGACATTCGCATCGCTGGCTGATCATTATGGTGTAGTCCATTTTCAAGCAGCTGTGGCACATTTCATCGTGCAAGTGATGCAGCCTGATTTGACTGTGAGGCAGTCAGAAGATGCTGCCTGCAATGTCATTCTCCCGTTCCAGTCCATTGCAGTATTCCACAAGGTCTGCTATGGTACTGTTGATGATAATGGCATGGTAAACCATCTCACTGTGGATGCAATACATACACAACCGGCGCGACGCAATGGCCATAATAGGAGAGTGCCAGCAAGGTTTGATACTGCGCTCATAAATCTGGGGAATGGCGGCAAGTTGGGCATCAAAGGTGAGCGAACATGTTTATGTATGCGGGGACACTCAGGCTGATGAAGAACTGATAGGATATCGTGTCGCTCAAGTTCGTGTGATCTTTTCATTGTCAGCCAATGTCAGGCATGCTCTATTTCACAATGTCAAGGTACCTGATCACCTGGTGTATGTTGAATAGTTCACGCCCTTCTCTGCTACCCCAGATATCAATCACAGCATGTATAGGGTTTCACGTGCGCTTCAGGATGGTGACAGGCAAGCAAGCATTGTTCCTGTTGACAATATTTGACGCTTGGTCCACTTAATACAAAAGTTCAGTGTGGTGACTCCGCGTGACTGGAGTATGAGCAATGTATTGGATCAGTGTAGTACATTCTTTGTGAACGAGTTTACTGACCAAGACACGTATGTAACTATATTTTAGTTAAATAGAAGTCTACCATGCAGCTTCAAAGCTTCAATGACAAGTGTTTTGTTTGAGTTCTGCATGAGCCTGCATCAGATCGAGTGAGATGATGACAAATAGTTGACACTGGCACGTCACAGTCACGAAAATTTCTCAACATCTCTTGGATTGTCATCTCGTTCTTCTTCTGTGTCTCCTGTGCATTATATTTATGGTGCAAAGGTTTTATATGGTATGGTAACTTTAACTAACAGTGTTACAGGACTCTGTGGCAGAGAAGGAGAATTGGATTCCTGAAAAGCAGTGAGTGGGTGTTTTTTATGGTAACATGATAACTTCTCTTATCTGATCGTAATCTATAGTCCACGCTCACCTTGCCAGGACTCTCTGGATGGGAACTCGCCCATCAAAAACTCGCCTATCAAAAGGTAAGTTGTTAGTGATATCATTGTATGAGCAGGTTCTCACCAAGGTACCAGGACTAAAAAACCATTGATGCGCAGATTTCCGATCCCGGAATTCGGGATTTTTCCTACCCTGGTCACAGAAATACCTCATACTCCCATGCCACCCTACCGTCAGACTCCAGCCCCTCTAACAGCCTCTCAGAATTACATGTATAGACTCGTCACAGGTCATTGGGATGCTGAAATGAAATGGTGTGAGGAGGCAAGAAAGGCGCATCTATTGGAAGTTCAACTGGCTGCTCATGGTATACGTAAATTAGTATAATTGTATGCTTGTATCTTGTGTCGAGAAAATTCTCTAACATTGTCTGAATTCTTTTTGGGAGTGTGCACATTTGCTGACATTGTCGAATATTGGACCTTTTATTCACGCATTTGAGAAAACACCAACTGATTTTCTAGGTTTGACCGGATTTTCTTGAATTGTCACTAATATCACAAAGAGGTTTTTCCTGATCCACGGTGTCGGGAATAGCCCACTGCAGCATGATGATTTGTGAGCAAGCAGTCAGGGATTCCCTACCCCTTCACCAGACCTTGGTCACCTGCAGAGATTTCCTACACTGTTGTCAGACCTCAGTCGCCAGGGATTTCCTACACCATCACCAGATCTTCATTGCCAAGGGCCATTTTTGTATGGTGGTGGACAGCAGCAGACACCTGCACCGCTTAGTATGAGATCTGGTGACCATAGTTGTTCTCCGGACGACTATCAGCAACAACCCTATCTGTTTCATCAGCAACAGGCAGCACCGCAAATGAATCAAGGTCCATACCAGCATGGCTCCCATATGCATGATGAACAATTGCAGAATCTTAACACTATGGTTGCGAAACTTGTCTTGGTGGTAGCGAAGCTGAAAGAGAGCAACCAGCAAACTCTACTGGTGAATGCGCAATGCTCTGTTGCTGATGAAGCACTTACCTCAGATGTGAAGACTTTAACCCATCAATTTCAAACCATGCAGACTGAGCTATCGCAACTTACTACGAAATTGCACAAGAAGTCCACTGGGAAAAACATTTCCAATGATCATCCCGCACTAAAAGTAAGCATGAAGATATTGCACAACACTAAAAAACTCATGTATTGTAGCAACTGATCCCGCTGATGCTTTGTAATCTTTGTGGAATCAACACAACCTTGAATAGAAACCAGCGACCAGAGGCATTAGGAGCCATAAAACCGCTGGATAGTGGGGAGCCTTACAAGAGAAGCAAATCCACGGACAAGGTGATCTGGCACCCGAACTGGATGGGTCAAGTAGACGAGAGCATGAATGCAAAGTTCATAAAAGAAGTTGTGGAGTGTGTCTATAATGACGAGAAGGTAAGCACCATCAAAGTGTGTCATAAGCTCTCACAAATTTCGTAGCACTGCCATGAAAGCCTCCATGCGAAGGGGGAGATCCCTGATGAGGACTTTAATATGCAGGTCATTATGCAATGCATGAAGGATTACTTTCGCAACATACACAAGCAGGTGTTGAGCCGTAGCGATGTTGACAAGGCCAAGAAGGCCCAAGAGAAGAAGGATCAAATTCGTCAGTGGACTCGTCGTCAAACAGTAAGTCTAACATTTGTGATCAAATCAGATATAACTTACCATACTACTCAGGCTACAAAAAACTGTCAGCTAGCAGCAGTCGACTGGGAAAAAGAGACTGGTAACACTGGAGCAGTTGCGATGATAGATACAGATTATGCATCCGACATCTTGTCGTATGACAAGGGTAATCTGAGCGAGGACAAGTTGAGCTGGAGAGTGAAGTCTGGAGCAGGCAAAGGTGCAAACATGGCTGTAGGGTTGGAATGGTGTTCTTTTGATGTGAGCATTTGTTTCTCATTTCCACAGTGAATACTGACCTTTGCTGATTAGTATGTCTCATTTTTGCTCTTCCTAACACTCCGAAGCATGAGGAATCCAGCGGACAACAGCAAGAAGACATCATTGGATACCAACAACACAACAACTTCAAATCAACAAACCTCTGAGCGTCCGAACAAGCATTGCAGGACCACAGAGGGCTGGGACAAGAAGTTGATAAAGAAGACCTTTGACCTCAACCCCAATCAAATGAACGACCACACACCAAAATCTGCCAAGGGTAACTTGCCATTTGAGAACATGGTTGCCGATAAATGGAGGCAAACTCACCCAGATATGAAGACGCTTGAAGGGGTTGAGTGGCTCAAAGGGTTTTGGGGTCAGATGGACAACGAGGAGTTCCTTGAGGAAGACTGGGACTATTTGGTGGAGTTCAACAAGTGGCACATCAAGCAGGATGGTGCAAGTGACTCAGAGTGAGTCAATGAATGTGACATGAAGCAGTCGTGGTAGGGTTTGGACGTGAGTAAGTTAATGAGTCTGCAGCTTGGTCACCTTAGAAGCACTTAATCACCGACTGTAGCACATGCCTTTGTAATTATTGTAACACTTCAAGGTGTGAATCACTGTATAATCATCAGTCTTCATATAGCCTTTTAATGAGAAACATATCTTCGAAAGATCAATTGTTGCCCAAACCTTGGTTCTGTCCTCTCCGATTGAGACTGTTGTCATCCCTAGCTGACCAACAATCCAGTCAGGGTCGATAAGAAGTGGGAGTTGGGTCTCTCGGTCTGTGTACTCTCCCAGTTTCCACAAGCATAGATCTGCTGAATAGCTAGGTAAATGAATATGAGTTTCTGACTCTGATACTATGAGTTGGTCAACTCACAAATCACTCCACACTTGTTCACACTCTCCCCTCCATGGTACAAACCATCGCATGTGGGCAAGCCAGAGTGGTTCATCTACTGCACAAACCTCTGATCGAACTGGAAGATCTCAAGAACTTCGCCATAAGCATAAACAGGGCTTGGACTGGGGATGATCATGTGAACCAGAGAGGACCGATTTGTACCAACAGTTCTGGAAGCATAGTAGCACTTACCATCAATTATCACATAATCGAAAAAGATTGCATCACGATTGAGTGGGAGGCTGTGGGGTACTACTGCGCGGTTGGAACAGCAATGAACTGGCATCAAAGGAAAAAGATGGCATATCATAAATGCAAGGAGTTGATATGTCTCTGTAGACATTTGTTTTTTGTGGTGTCAAGGACTCAGAGCATAAGCTTGACCAGCTAGGTATATTTCCTGTGGTAGTTGTAACATAACTTCAAACAAATTAATGTACCATCCATATCAGCATCATCAAGGTCTTGTGACAATTTGGCGAGTGCTGCAACTGTCCCCCTTTCGTCATTTGATGCCTTCAGCATCGTTTGTGCTGCTTCACTTGGCAGCGTCTTGTTCGGAGAATTTTGCAATGTATATATCTAGACATGGTGAGTGACGAGAAAACACAACATTTAACTTACCAGTCGTCCAATCTGACAAGTCCTTTGAAATTCCTTAAAGAAGGTTGTCTCTAGCTCACCATGTGCATGGTTGTTAGTCTTAAAGGACTTTAAAACCTTATTGAGGCGCTCAAACAAGAACATCCAGAAGTCATAGAGAGGACCAAATTGTGCGCACAAGTGCCAACATGAGTTGCATAGTGGTGGTTTGGTTTGAGTGCACCAGATCCATAAAGCTAGATAAAGATGGAGAGTTAGTTGTTGTAGATGTAGGTTGGTGGCGGTGTCAATGAAACTTACATGTATAAGTTCCCCACAATATTGTGAGATAAGCAGCTCAGCTTGACTGATATTGTCATCACAGAGCTTGCGTCTGATGAGAATTCGCAGAGCTTCAAGAAGTTAGCAGGGTCATCAGGGTGAAGTGAAAACTTCAAGTTTGCTTCTGCATCCTCTGCATCCTCTACCATTGACTCCGGTATTGGTATGGAACCTGGAGCAATGGGAGGTGGTCATATTTGTCCTTCAGCCAGATCTTCAACTGTTTGCATAGTTGCCTTGTGTTTTTTGGAAGCCTAAAGTGGTGTTCAGATGTGATGCGTCGTTGAAAAAATGCAGTACAACTCACCCTCTTTGCAGCAGCATTCGCTTTTTTCTCAGCTGTGAGTCTAACCTTCCCAGCTTGCCTGGCAGCCGCAATTCTGAGCTTCTCTTGTATTTTGGCCTCTGCAATGGCAAGCTTCTCTTGCGCAATCCGAGCCTTCTCGGCCTCATAGGCATCCTTGCCCTGTATCTTCGCAGCAGCAAGGGCCTTCTTTTGGTTGGCCTTAAAACTCGCCTGTGCTTGCTTCTCGGATTCGGCTTTCTTGATTGCATTAACATGGTGGTGAAGAATGTCATTGTCTGCATCCATTGGCAAACAGGTACTCCACAGCTGTGGGATCTTATTGCAACGAGCAAGTTTGATATCAATGTTAAATGTAAGTAAGACTCACTATGACTGGGCCATAGATGGTGGCAAGAAGAAGCCATTGATCTGCGGTGAGGGAACCACTGGACGGCATCCCAATATTGGTTGGTAATTGCCGCATGATCCAGGGACGATAAACTACGAAGATTAGGGACTAAGATGGGCATATAAACAAAACTTATGTCAGTGAGCATCTCATGAAATGTGTCCAGTTCATGGTTAGCACGAAGAATTTTGCCTTGAACCCAGATATTATAGAAATTCGTCTTTACAAGACCTAGATCAGAGGTGTGAACTTCTTGACAGCAGCGCAGGATGGAGAAACTCACCAAGGAAGAGGTTGTGCATGGGATCAATAACTATCTTTTCTACGAGATTAAAGTATGGAAGACAAGAGAGTTGTGTGTATCAAGTAGCATGTTCCTTGACGAAGTTCTTGTGTGCGCTCGCTGTGGTGAGCTTGCGATAGTGCTCGCCAAGTTCTTGTTGCTCCTCGTTCGTCCGTGGTTGAAAAGCTGAGAAAGGACTTTCATTAGTGTGTAAGGTAGATAGTAGTGCTGTCCATGTACTACCATTTTGAAAAGCGTATGGTTTATCCTTGTCCTCAATTGTTATCCAACACGCTGTACAAAATTTTGTGTGAGAGTGTGATGCGAAGCCTCCAATCTTCTGCACAGCAGGTTTATCGCAGACCACAGCGACCAAAATCACACGAACAAGTCAACCTGAGACCAAATCCATAACGAAATTGTAATGCTCATGATAGTGTCTTGGATGTATGTACCTTGAGGACAAGATTCAGTTGGCACTCTGACTCCAAATTTCCATAGGCGCAGCAAGTCCGAGATAATAGGGCGTAAGAACCACTGGATTTGGTCGGGATTTTGCTCTTTCGGTCCAGGAAGAATGCTCGTGCACATCAGGTTTGAGGTTCAATATCTTTGAACAGAATAAATCAGCAAGCGAAGGTGGACATGATGGACTTACCGGTACTCTGGTGGAAGATTGCAAATTGAGAATGATGTTGGACATGACAAGTGGGATGGTGCAATGTTGCTTCATATGTAGGAGAACCTAGTATAATAAAATGGACGTAAGTACTATTGCCTGAACAAGGATAATGTACCAGTCAACACCAAGATTTACTCCTATATGGAGTTCCCCATCTGGCCTGCTCTTCTCATGAGAAAGATTCGAGAAAAAAAGGTTGCCATCTGGACCTTTAAGCTTCATGCGACACACAGCACCATCGAAAATATCTGTATATTCACCAATGATGCGAGGTTTGGAGCGCCAACCATCGAGAACCGCTTCAAGACCTGGAATTTTGAGGAGGGATTTGATCTGCTCAGATAAAGGAAGGTAAGGGTATTTGATGATGGGCATTTTCACAGCCCGTTGATTGCCCTGTTTTGTCGTATCTGGAAGAAAGAGGTCAACTGCACAAGTTGTGCAAGTGTCGTGTGATTTGGTCGACATCGCGGGGGGGAAAACATCACGACAAGTAGGGCAGACAGGTAGAGTGAATACTTCCTTGTCAACGCCAAGAACTCAATTGCTCCACATACTGCAGTCACTTTACCCTTGATAAACACATACAGCTGAGGGTGAAAATTCCCTGTTCCAAACAGGCCGCTGATGTGGGCCCATCAATGTATTGTTCTGTTAAATACAGGTGGGCCGATGTCAAGTGTTTATATGATACCAACAGGTGGGCCCATGGTATGTGGTGTAGTAGATAAGTGTAGACATTTCTATTGACTTTGGTAGACAGTGTATGGTAGGTAGTGTATGAAATATGTACCTGATACAAACAGGTGGGCCAGTCAATGTGTGTTTGTGATAGCAACAGGTGGGCCTATGGTATGTGGTGTAGGGTGTAGTAGATAAGCATAGACATTTCAATTGACTTTGGTTGATAGTGTATGGTAGGTAGTGTATGAAATATGTACCTGATACAAACAGGTGGGCCGGTCAAGGTGTGTTTGTGATACCAACAGGTGGGCCCATAGTATGTAGACTTTTCTATTGACTTTGGTAGGTAGTGGCTGAAGTATGTGTCTGACACAAACAGGTGGGCCGAGTGGGTCGGGGATCTGATATATCAGATGGGCTGAGGACACTGGTCGGTCAATGGGTCGGTCGGTCAATGAGTCGGTCGGTCAATGGGTCGGTCGGTCAATGGGTCTGTCGGTCACAAAAACATCAGTCAAGATATGGCTGAAATTGAAAGCATCGGTCAAGATATGTCCAAAATTGAAAACATTGGCCGAGACATGACTGACACGGCCGAGGTATGGCCGAACTCCAAAACATCGGTCAAGATATGGCTGAAATGCAAAACATCGGCTGAGATATGACTGAAATGGCCAAGATACGGCCGAGGTATGACAGAAATTGAAAGCATCGGTCAAGATATGGCCGAAATCCAAAACATTGGCCAAGACATGACTGATATGGCCGAGATATGACCGAAATCAAAAACATCGGTCGAGATATGACGGGAATCAAAAACATCGGTCAAGATATGGCCAATATTGAAAACATCGGCCGAGGCATGACTGAAATGGCCGAGGTATGACTGGAATCAAAAACATCGGTCAAGATATGACAGAAATCAAAAACATCGGTCAAGATATGGCCAAAATTGAAAACATCGACTGAGGCATGACTGAAACGGCCGAGATATGACTGAAGTCAAAAACATCGGTCAAGATATGGCCGAAATTGAAAACATCGGTTGAGGTATGACTGAAATGGCCAAGGTATGACCGGAATCAAAAACATCGGCCGAGGCATGACTGAAATGCCCGAGGTATGACTGAAATCAAAAACATCGGTCAAGATATGGCCGAAATCCAAAACATCGGCCGAGATATGACTGACATGGCCCAGATATGACCGAAATCCAAAACACCAGCCAAGATATGACTGAAGTCAAAAACATCAGCCGAGGCATGACTGAAACGGCCGAGGTATGACTGAAATCCAAAACATTGACTGAGATATGACTTAGGTCAAAAACATCAGTCAAGATATGGCCGAAATCCAAAACATCGGCCGAGACATGACTGACATGGCCCAGATATGACCAAAATCAAAAACATCGGTCAAGATATGGCCGAAATTGAAAACATCGGCCAAGACATGACTGAAACGGCTGAGGTACGACCACAATCGAAAACATTGGTCAAGATATGGCCGAAATTGAAAACATCGGCCAAGACATGACTGAAACAGCCGAGTTATGACTGAAATCAAAAACATCAGTCAAGATATGGCCGAGATATGACCGAAATCCAAAATATTGGCTGACCGAAAGTTGTTTTTATGCTTAACTTTGTTAACAACAGTTGTAGCCCCAGTAAAGGCGATCATATCCATAGTCTTATCATGTCAATCGGTTATCATCTGACCAAGATATAAGCCAAATAAATGCAAAACATCGGCCGACCGAGATATGACCAAAATCTGAATTATAGCTCATAACTTTCTCAGATCTGAACCATTTTTCAAGATTAGACCACCAATGTGTTCGCCTAGATGAGTACTACCCATTTGAAGGCAACCGGGTCCAAAATGATCGGTTGAAATTGATCCTGGAGTGGTCTTTTGGTTTTTGCAACAGGTAGGCAACTGCACAAAGTCACATTTATATATAATTCAAGTTGAAGATTTCATTAAAAATATGTAGGATAGACTGTAAACTATCTAAGGAACCCATACTACCTACTGCCCTGAGGGTAGGGGGTGAGTGGAAAGGATGTAGTGTAAATGTGTGTTGACCTAGCATTAAAGTCCTACTATTGCTCAACTGACCATTTTCGATGTTTTGGGTCTTTGAGCTTTCTCACACTCAATTTCTTATCTATTTCACTTCCTCAGCATTCAATTCTTGTTGGATTGTTCTGTAAATCTATACATATGATACTGAATATATTGTGAATGTACTCCAAGTTTCTGATTATTAAATTTCGATGATTTGAAGGTATTGATCTCTTATCAGTAGAAATAGCAAGCATATGCAGTATCTCAAATCAACAACCTATTTTGAACTGATCTTCATCATGAAAGGAAGTATATATACTATTCTAATGATATATGAACAGGGTTAACCAGATGTGCAAGGGTAAGATACTGAAAAACATCAAAAATGCTAAAAATGCGATTTTCTATCATTTTGTCCCTGTAGAAGGATCCTATGTGTGTCCTTGGCTGGCTATATGATATATACACTCCAAATAAGCTTAGGAATGGACTCCCTGCTATCCTTGAGGTCCGGTACTACAGGAAAAAAATTCCCAGAGGGTAAACCACCAGGAGGGGGGGGTACACTATACAATAAGGGATTCTACTATGATCCTGGGCTCCTGATACATTGTTTCCATTGCTGAATAGATGATGGGGATATAATTTCAAGGTCTATTCACCTAGACATAAGCACATAGGAACAACTTTTGTACTTTTATGTATATATGCCATATACATTGATGTAGGGCGCTTCAGGGGGCCAAATAAAGTTGGCAATCTCCTCATATATACTACTAAACATGTTCTAAATGCCCTAGGACACTTCCCTCTCAAAGGGGCAAAAGTGCAAGAATGTTTTGTATCCTACATCATTTTGAAAGGGACCTGAATCATATATAAATGTGCCAAGTGTGGAGTACCGAGTACTGAGTACTGAGTATTGAGTGCCCAATATCGAGTATTGAGTACTGAGTACCAAGCACCGAGTTAAGACTATTGAGTTATGGCTATCAAGTTAGGACTATGGAGTATAAACCATTGTATTCAACTACCGAGTACTGAGTACTGAGTACCGAGTGTCGAGTTAAGACTATTGAGTTATGGCTATTGAGTTAGAACTATGGAGTATAGACCATTGTATTCGACTACCAAGTCTCAAGTCTCAAGTCTTGAGTACTGACTACTGACTACTGACTACTGACTACCGAGTGTTGAGTTAAGACTATTGAGTTATGGCTATTGAGTTAGGACTATGGAGTATAGACCATTGTATTCAGCTACCGAGTATTGACTACCGAGTACCGAGTACTGAGTGTTGAGTTAAGGCTATTGAGTTAGGACTATGGAGTATAGACCATTGTATTCAACTACTGAGTCTTGACTACCAAGTACCAAGTACCGACTACCGACTACCGAGTGTTGAGTTAAGGCTATTGAGTTAGGACTATGGAGTATAGACTATGGAGTATAGACCATTGTATTCAACTACCAAGTCTCAACTACCGAGCATCGACTACCGAGTCCCAACACTCTCTCGGTCAGCCGATGTACCTTGACTCGGACTACAACTTTCTTTTTTTTTTTTATTATCACCGATGTGTTGAATTTTGGTCATATCTCGGTCGGCTGATGTTTCAGATTTCTTTAGCCTCAGACTACAACTTTTGTTGACAAAGTTAATCATAATAACAACTTTCTTTTTTTTTCATTATCACTGATGTTTTGGATTTTGGTCATATCTTGGTCGGCCGATGTTTGGTTTGTTAACAAAGTGAAGCATAATAACAACTTTCATTTTTTTTCATTATCACCGATGTGTTGAATTTTGGTCAGTCTTATCTCAGCCAACTGATGTTTTGGATTTCAGTTGTATCTTGGTCTGCCAATGTTTCAGATTTCAGTCATATCTCGGTCGGCCGATGTACCTTGACTCGGACTACAACTTTCATGGTTTTTTTTTCATTATCACCAATGTTTTTGATGTTGGTCATATCTTGGTCGGCTGATGTCCCTTGACTCGGACTACAACATTTTGTTGACAAAGTTAAGCATAATAACAACTTTCATGGTTTTAGACATTCATTTTGATTGGCCGACCTGATAGCATCATGCATTCATTTCTATCGGTCAACTCAATAGCAATCAGCCGACCTGATTTCATCAGGCATTCATTTCCATTGGCCGACCCGATAGCATCAGACATTCACTTTGATCGGCCGGCCCGATTCTATCAGGCATTCATTTTCATCGGCCAACCTGATAGCATCAGACATCCATTTCTGTCGGCCGACTCGATAGCAATTGGCCGACCCGATTATATCAGACATTCATTTTCATCAGTCGGCCCATATGTTCACACCCATCATCGGCCGACTGGTACACACAGCTGCTATATTCCACATCGGCCCAGCTGATAACATCACACACTCCACCATTTTTCCCTGGCCATCGGCTGACATGATAATATCAAGTATCACTACATATGGGCCCACCTGTTAAAATCGACTCCCATTGAGACCACCGGCCGAACATTAGACACAGGAAAATATTTTCGGTTGGCTGACATCCGCTGGCCTGTGTGGAACAGGGAATTTTCACCCTCGGCTGCCTGTTTTATACAGGGTATGTGACTGAATGGGCTCATTGCTCGACTGCAGCATGACGAAGGGAACCTCTATAGCCGGAGAGAGATAGATAAGGATAAGACCGAGGATAGTCAGCAGTGCATTACAAGCAACACGAGGGAGGTGGAATTGCAAGTGCAGCCAGGTGACAAGCACATATATGGTGATCAAATGTGGGGGGACCTCAGTGAGATTTGAATTATCTGTCGAGGAGAAACCTTCGTCTGGCATGAAAGGATCAGGATCGTCTTCATCAGCCACATCTGGTGCTGTTATCTCATTATCTATGTCATCGTCTGGATAATCAAATTGTGCATCAATATCGATATCAATGTGATCCAGTTCATCATCATTGTCTTCAAGAACTGATTCCTCTTGGTGTTGCATTTCTTCAATAGCATTTGCAAGGTCACGCTCGAATCGATGTTGTTCAGCATCAGGTGGTAGATGGTGAGCTGCATGAGGTGTGAGTGGACGCGAGCCTGCAGCGGTAGCTCTGTTATATGCGCCAAAATGATCGACGGCAGCAAAGAGGGCTTCTGGGCTATGGAAATTGGATCCGAGATTTGGTAGGGCACTCCCATGAGTCATAAGATCAAGATCTTCGCCAGTTAGGAAACCATAATCCAACATCTCTTGTTTGATAGGAGATTCGGACATGTGGGGAGGATCATGAAAGTCCACATCCAGTGATATCAGAGGCTGCGGGTCGTGCAGAGGCACAGCAAAGCCACAAGAAACAGGTCCAGGGTCCTGCGCGGCCCCATGCACAAAGTGTTTGCCAGCTCGTCTGAAATGAGCTTGTGACATGGTAGTTTTGCGCATCGACACCTTTGATAGCCCATTTCTTGAAGTTGAGGGGAGCCTGCAGATGACAGCTTAAGAAAGGTCGGTGACACGCTTATCAACGCATCAAAGCACATGTCATGTGTTCTGAGTCCAAGGCTTAGACACAATGTAGGGCCAAGTTTGACCCAGGGTTGCGAACTGATTTAACTTGGTTAAAGAGCTACTACATGGTGGTCTTATGATGCGTTGATGAAATTCTAGCCCTTTTACACCCTCCGTGTCCTTCGTCTTGACAGCCTGTGCACTCACAGCTTTGGGTGTAGTCAAATTCTGTAAGATGCATGTTAGTTCAAATATAAAATAGACCGAGGGGAGACTTGCATCCGAGAAAGGTTGGACTTTGGTCACAGCCTCTAGCTCTGACTCGGACTCTGGTTCTGTCTCGCTATCATCAACAGGTGCAGGTACTCGTTTGGGTGGATGTCCGATGGTCATTTCAACGGTCTACAGACATATATAAACTTAGTTTAGCTCACCGTACTAGAAAAAAACTTACTATGGGTCCTGGTTCATTGGATTCAAAGGTAAAGGTGAATTTTCGAGTGCCCGAAGGCAGCTGCAGCTGAAGGATGTTATGTGGTTGCAAATGCATGTTGGCTGTGGTCAGGGACTTAGCGAAAAAACGAGTGGATTCATCTAGAAACGCTTGACGCTAACTCAAACGTCGGGTTGTGTATGAATTGTCTTTCAAGAGGGCGAGTTTGGCTAGAGTTATAGGTGCTAAAACGAGCGTTGGTATTTGGTCTGATTAGACGTGTTTGCTCTAACCTGATGGTACGGTTTGGGTCTGTTTAACTGATCTCAAAGGTCCATAACGTTGAAAAATTTGCCAGGTCGAATTTGAGTCTGGAAAAGGTACTTCATAGTACTTCCTATGTCGGGTTATATGTGGAAAGTCGCTCGGATTAGGGTGGAGTTATTTTCTCGTTTCCGCAGTGAATCATGAACACCTCTGGTGAATCGGTTCACAACCCAGTATCTTGTTCATGTTCTTTTTTGCCACATGAACACACATACAAGCAATGATACTACATGTTCTCGAATTGATGTACCCCAGATCGCTGGTTAACCAACTGAATGAACTGTGACATCCGTTGCTAGTTGTGCTTGCGTCTGTGCTTATTCTTCACTCAAAACTATTCTGGTCTAACTAAACCCACTCGAACACTACTAATATCGACTCACAGCTAATTTGAACTCGCCATCATTTGGGTTTTCTTTTCTATCTTGCAAGACGTCCAATTTTTCATCCATTCCTATTATGATCAATGCCCCTTCGTGTCCTCCATTCTATTAAACTCCTCTTCTCGGACAGTCTTGATCTCCCCTCTCGTTCTCCAAAACACCACTCCCCATCACAAATACCCAAATCCTCCCCTCCCCCTTCAACATTTCACCCATTCTCATTCTCTTCCCAACCCTCCAACTAACCCCATCTGCATCACATACAAAGGGACAGAAGACCTTATGATCAAGTACCTCCAGTCCACAGCTGCATATGGGCTGATAGCTGTGCCACTGAGGGAGATGGTGAGCGTAGGAGTGAGCGTGGCGAAGGACAAAAGCAAAAGGATGCGGATCGTGTCGTTGCTGCTAGGACTCCAGTAAGTGTTTTGATCCCTGTGCTTTTGTGGGTTTGGATTTCATTTTCGTTTGTGTGGGACCACGTTCTGTTGTAGGATTCAGTCCTGGTTCCATCTAGACTCGCTAGAGAACCTTGGACTGCTGAACCGCACAGCATACATCTCCAACCACTGCCTTCTCATCTCACTCGTAGACACAGGTGGGAGACTTAATGTATGCATATAAGGACTTGCAAGAGGTTACTGAATTGACTGGGCGGTGAGTGGTTTGTCTATGTTCCGTGTACGTCGATGTATCTCATTTTACTCAGCCATGCTCATCTTCAGCATCTGAAAAAAATGCCCATGGGTTTCATTCAAACAGGACAAAATCGTTTTGCCACGCCATGCTTCGATAAATGAAAACACAGAGGCACTCATTCATCATTTCAAGGTATTCTCCTCCACTTAACTACACCTATCATCACTTATCATTCCCTACCATAGCTTTTCAACCAAGGCTACTCGGTGCCACCAGAGACTTATAGTGCCATCAAGGCTCCCAAAGGAGAGGTGGCTGTATACCTCGTCTCATACAGGCGCTTCAATGCTCCCTGATTTTATTATCATTTATCACATAATACGTAGGGGTGGAACCATTCGTCCATACTGATGCAAAATCTGTGCTCCCGGCTTCACCCTCACAGGTTCAGAATTCATGATGAGACGTACATTGTTTATCACCTTATTCAAGACATTTACTGGGATACAACTTGTCTTCTAGATATAATATGCACAAATTCTTAGCGCTGATGGTTCCTCTCTCTATAACACATACTTGCCGACGCTGTGGCCATCGTGGCTACCATAGTATGTACCCTGTGGTTTCATTTCATTCTTCATGTCACTTATCGCTGTTTTTGAGGATCTTGTTTGTGTGCATTGATGATATTTCGTTCCACATGAGTTTCTGAAGTATGCTACGGCATATGAATTTATTGAGGTCCACCGTCGACAAAACCTTGATGTACTTATATCATGGTTCTGCTAACACGTCGTGAAATCATGCGTCTATACTAATGATTACCAAAATAATCATATTGCATCATGTGACAGAGCTTTTGACCCACGGTTTTAAGGATGCACTTGATGCGCATTCTCGATCTATTCTCCCAGCATTGCATATAAGGGTGTGTTGCACGTTTAGTATTAACCTATCTCTGAGTACTTTGCAGATATATTTCACCCTCACAACGTGATTTCTGCCTATCTGGTACTCAACAAGTGAGGGTGTCTTATCTTCGTGAGCACATAGGACATACTTAAGATCTCAACGCTTAAAGGATAGACACGTCAAACAAGAAAAGGAAATATGTTCATACATAGGACGCAGCGCCGCAGGCAGGAGATACATAAGAACAACGAAACACGTGTAATGAAGAGTAACTAATCTGATCACCCACAATACACCTGGGCATCTCGGTGACAGCTTCTAGTGGCCAAGATCAGCACCAAATGAACTCAATGATATGCTTCACGTACATTGATCTAACATCTATATGAACGAACTACTATAATAAAGTAGGGCTAGACATATCAATTTAGCAGCTGCGAGGGATAGTAGAGCAGTGTCATATCCTGTACCTCCGGATCCGTAATTCCGGATCTACTTCATCGAAGTCCGTTTCTCCGTCTTACTATTCCGCCCGGCACTCCGCCTTCATCTCCGCACTCACCCCTAACTCCTTTTAGATTAGCTATTGCTCCGGTTACCGGTTATGTTCTTTCCACTATGCTTATTGATCTGTCCATTCCTACTTCATTTCCGACTTCACTGCTTTGATCCGCTACACTTAGTAATAGACTTTAGCCCTTACCTTCGCTGACTGATTTACTTACATGTTACCTACAGTATATAAACCCCTGTAATACTCCGGAACTCCTCAGTTCGAATATCATCTTAGTTCTGCTCATTCCTGCAATCTCCGGACTTGAGTCTCATCTTTTGTCCACCTCCGAGTCTTAGGGGTTAAACCTTAGGACTACTTCTCCGGCTCTACCTTAGGGTAGTCTAACCTCTGTTCAGTTTCTACTCCGGACTTCCATAGTAGCCTTACTCCGTCCCAGTATAAACCTTCCGGAGTTCCGCCGAACTCCACCGACACCAAGTCCTCCAGAACTCCCCGGACTTCTGTCGGACTTCCCCTCTGTCCCCTGGAAATTAAAGGGCATGTACTCGGGTAAGGGGCGCAGTGCATGAGCTGAAGCTGAAGCCCTTTGAGTAACCTCTCCCTTGAGCACGACCTTAACAAGCAGCTAGATACTCACGGATTGTAGCAATTAGACCAGTGGCTCCCATGTGCCATATGGGACAAATCAAGCTCTATACCTCCTCGCAGGATCACCAATGAGGTCCAAGGATTATAAAACAGCTGTAAGGAATCAGGAGGTACCCAGAAAAGGAGTCGACAAGCAGGCCCTACCATCCATCCATCACGTCCCAACATGAAAGGGGTTGACTTGGAACAATGATGAGAGATGCCCTCAAGTATCTCAGCAGGGTTGTGAAGTGCTTGGTTTGAGCTGGATGCAAAGCAAATGGAATGATTTCCCCAAGTATTGGTTGACATGATAGAGCTCTGTTGTGTGGGTGGCGGGGTGCAAATTGTATCTAGAGGGAATGAGGAGGTCTCAGGAGCTATGACATGCCACAGCCGAACAGTGCAATCCCGTGAACCCGATACGACACGAGTGCCATCCGGCAAGAACAAGACTGAGAAAATAAAATTTGTGTGCCCCCACAAGGGCTCACCCAATAGCTGCCCCATTGCTGCATCCCACAGCCAGACAGTGTGATCCCAAGAACCAAACACAATGCGAGTGCCATCCGGCGAGAATGAGACCGAATAAACCCAAGAAGTGTGTCCCCACAAGGGCTCGCACAATGGCTGCCCCATTGCTGCATCCCACAGCCAGACAGTGCGATCCAAAGAACCAGACACAATGCAAGTGCCATCCTGCGAGAACGAGACTGAATTAACCGAATCTGTGTGCCCCCACAAGGGCTCACCCAATGACTGCCCTGTTGCTGCATCCCACAGCCGGACAGTGTGATCGTGCAAACCAGACACAATGCGAGTGCCATCCGGCAAGAATGAGACTGAAGTGACCACAGACGTATGACCACTGATCACAGTCTGAACTGCCGTCCAGTTCAAATCGTAACCACATATTGGACGAAGATTATTTGGAAACCTGGCTGTAAATTTGGTGGCCATGGTGGAGTTGACTGGCGAGAATGGCAGCGCTGATACATACAGATGCGGTGTGCTGTGCAAAACCATGCCACCAAACACTTGAATAAATCTCTGCACGTCCATTGCAGTGGACAACACATCTTCATATCCAGAGTGACCCTGTAGCTGTGCGTGAGTGCTTCATCCGACACTGCTCCAGAACTTTGTGCTCAACTTCAGCCACTGGGAAATCAGCGCCCGTGCGTAAACTGCGTAGTTCAGTGTGTTCAGATGGGCGAGTATTTCGATCCAGAAGAGCAGTCACTCGTGGTTCAAGAATGATTTTATTTCCTTTCCAAGCTCCGTGTCGAAATCCGCAGCTTGTATGTGTGTAGCCCAAAATCGACAGGAATAGGACAGATGTGGGAGGATGTATGATTCGACTCGTTGGGGCAGCCCAGTGTCTTCGTGATTAGGGAGGTGCGAAGACTTTAAATTGCATATATTGAAGCAAAGGCCATGTTCCATCGCTTGAAGTGACGCAAAGGCCAGGTCCCGATGTTGCATCTTCGACACCTCGACAAGAAATTCTTCGCTGGATGATCTGTCTGTCAGAAAATCTTGAAAAGATGCGTGAAGGGGTCGGATTGGAGTACATGAATTAGCGGTGCCGCTCAGGAGGGATCCCAGATGTTTGACCACGTTCTCCACTTTGTAGCGGTCTCTTTGGTCTGAAAAATGCATCCACATGGCATTGAGGGCATCTAAGGGCAGGGGTTTGGCTGAGACAAGTATTTGTCCCATCACAGAACGAAATTGCGCTAGAGCTTGCTGGTACTCGACATTGCTATATTTATGCCTCGGTATGGTTTCTGTCAAAATAAACCGATATATATCATACAACTGGACTGCCCACTTCCCAGGATCGCGGTTCATGACAGTGTCGAAGCAAGAGATTGGGTTTACTCCAGGAAGATCCTCCTTAATGTATTCACAGACAATACGCACCCACTCGAAAAGTCCATCGGCTCAAGTGGCGAGGGTTGTAAACTCTTTGTCCCCAAAAACCAACAGTTCGTTCAGCTGTTCAGATACGTAAATTCGGATGTCGTGCTCCGTGACCTGTGGTGGAATATCGTCCATGGATAACCATAGAATATGCTGAGCACTGCCAAACACTTTCTCGATATCGTGAAGTGGACAAGAGGTGATGAGAACCTGAACGTTGGGTGGGAGTTCAGTGATGTTGGGAAAACCCTGCTGCTTAAGTTTACCGGCAAGTATGTGCAGAAGGTTGAGCTGCGTCTCGGGCCCACCGCTCTTGTCCAGCGCTTCAATCATGATCAAGACAGGTCCCACACTTGACCTGGAGAGCTTCCCCAGTGGTTCCATGAGAAGCTTGTGCCACTGCTGGATGATATTTGTTGTGTTCTTGAGCGAATTAGCATTCTCGACTGCATTTACCAATGCTCGTCTCATCTCCAGATCATGATCTGCCAGGTCGCGAGCGATGGTGGAGAAAACCTTCTCGTGGCGCTTGTCGGCTGCACTGTGCCAGTCGAAGCAGAAACATGAACCAAGCCCTCCCATTTCATTGAACCGATTAGCAATCATGTGAGCGATGGCTGATTTGCCCTTGCCGGCAGGGTCAGACAGCCACAGCACACGCTGAGCAGTAGCTCCACTATCATTGATCCAGTCAGTGATCTGGGAGAGAACGTCCGTACGCGTCCCTGGTAGGCATTGTTTCGTGGTATCTAGTCTCACACCCACTGCATAAGTCATTCCGCTGAGATCCAGTGTTTTGCCTGAAGGGGTATGAATGGATGTAAAGTTGAAAGTACGTGCGAATGCTTACCCCTACATTTGACAAAGATGCCTGCGTCCTGAAGAGCTCGGTCCCAAAATTGTTGCATGAGCCCATCCAAAGCATCGCTGTACTGCGTAATCATGACATCCGTTTCCGATACAACATTTTTCTTGAGTCTCTCCCCTGTCATCACTTCAATTAGCCACCATGCGCAAAGTGTAGTAATTCAAGTACTCACAATAGCTCTGGGTCTCCGAGTAGTCCCTGATAAAACATCCACACTCTTGAGTCTGCTGAGCGATGCCGTCCGATGATAATGTGCATGGATGAGATCTGGTCAAGAGAGTCGTCTTGGGTCATGAAGCAGTAAACTTCATCTAATTTCTTCGAGAAGACGATGTAGCGATTGGTTGCGATCCGCTTGAGCAAGAATAATCTGCGCATCATCAACGACTGCCTGACCAGGAGATGAAACTAAGGGCGAAACCACACAAACCTTGGAAGCAGCAGACAGCACAGCCCAGCGCCATCTTTGCGTATGGATGTACCTATCTAACTTGATTAGTTCCCTTCCCATCAATGAGAACGGCACATACCTTCGCGATCTTCTCGATGGCAGCATCGAAAATCCTGAGGGATTCGAGATATGTGGTCTGGAAATTGTCTGTGATATCGACATCCACTTGGGCATTTTGGCGGAGGATGCCATAGATGTCGCATGGTTCCCAAGTATATTCATGTATTGCAAAGGCCTCATGGGCATCCCGGAATTCAGTAATGGCCATTTGGTGACTAGTCCCTTCCTGCAGGGCAGAAGGGGCAACCTGAACCTGTGTGACCACTCAAAGTTAAAAACAAGAAGGGCCAATCAGTAGACAAAAGTACCTGCGAAGCAAGTTCTCTGGACGGTGCTTGGTTCATGTAGCCACTGGAATTCTCAGACATAGTGGGATGCTGGTCGTCTTTAGCAACACACAGATGCGATGTGTCCTGTGCACGTCTGAGAGAACTGAAGGACTACAGTAATGAGTTTGAGTGCGTACCTCTATACTCTGATGCGACGAAGCTCCATGAACGACGTTCTCGACAACAGGGTCATGGTTGCGGGACCGCTTGACGGGTTTCTGCACAATATATGAGATATTTGAAAACTCAGCATTCACATCTATGCACTGGACGTTCATCAGTGAAGTCTTTCATAACTTTCTGTTTTCTCTGGACAAAGAACGCATCAGAGGCAGACATGAAATTGACCTCATCAGGTCACATACCGAGCTCTTTGAAACCCCAGCGGTCGCTTCGCCGGATCTGCAGGCTTGTGGAGCAGGATGCAGCCTAGGGTGTTCGCTCATTATGAGTCATCGAAGATTCGGATCAATGTGAACGAAGTGTGCTGCAAGACTTGAGGTTGTGCGAGAAGGGATTGGACCTAAGTATCAGAACTGAATACCCTTGACCTTGACCAACTCGTTGACAGCTTGAGGTGTTCATATCATTCGGCAAATTCCTAGAGACAAACATTAGCAATACCAATGCAATGCTGTGGTGACGCAAAACAATTGCTGGCAACAAGACTGAATGAGTTTTTCAAGATCATCTCGCCAGTAAATGAGTTGCGTCCGTCCACGATGATGATCATAATGCGCAATGATGAGCACCTCTGGCGAATCTGACCCAGACGACATGTTTGGCCGCATAAATAGCATACCCGGCAGTAATCACGTGCGAGCATCACCTGTTTGCTGTGTTGACCAACTAAATGAACTGGTTGTTTCTCCGCCTTATCTTTGCATGCCTGTTCTCAGTTTTCTCTTTCGCATATTGCTTTTACTTTAGCGTTCTGCTTTGTTTCCCTCCGTGTCCTCCATTTAACGACGTCCAAATTCTCTTCGACTGTTTAGATCCCCATCTCGTTCTCCCGAATATCAATTCCCCACTTCCACCACATCCTCCCCTTCCTTCCTCTTTCCCAACATTCTATGAACCTGTTATCCTTCCCAAACCTTCAGCTAACCCCCCTCCACCCAGACCCGCATTGCGTACGAATGGACAGAAGACTCTGTCATCAAGTACCTCTGGTCCGCAGCTGGGTACGAGCTGATAGCTGTGCCGCTCATTATAACAAAGAAACATCATCATCCTCGTGTTGCGGATGGAGAGGATAAGGGTGGTGAGAGTGGTGAAGGAAGGAAGTAGAAGGACGCGGATCGTATCGTTGCCGCTTTAGAATCGAAAGTAAGTATGTTTTTTCTGGTTGGTTTTCGATTTTCGTTCTTTTGGGTTCGCATTCTGTTGTAGGATTCGGTCCTCGTTCTGCTGTGGATTTGCTAGAGACCCTGACTGAATACTGATGAACCGTACAGCATACATCTCAACAACCGCCGTCTCCTCCACTCGCAGATGCAGGCAGAGACTCATGTTGCATATAAGATTTGCAAGAGGTTGCTGGATTGACTGGCCGGTGAGTGGCCTGTCCATGTCGTCTAGGAACTCATCTGTAAAAACGTCGTGCTCAAGACATCTCGTTTGAATATCTCTTTGCGTCTACGCCCCCCAGCTCGATTTTCCTCACATGAACCCTCCTCCAATCCCATTACCAAAACCACCACTAAACCCCTCACAAATTCAAACCTCTGATCCACCCCAGACTGAGACCTCGTACCTACCCCAAACACAGACACAAACGCAGACTCAACCACCCTTTCACCACCCTCGTCCGCGCACTCACCCTAACCTCATGCCAGGAACGCACCTCGTGATAACAGGTTCTGATGGTGTCGGTAAAACAACTGTAGCATGAGTTTTGGCGGGGCTTTGGGCGCCTAGATTCAACTCAGGGCTTAGGTCCTGATCTAATTCGGGCTTGGGCTCGGGGCTTATGTCTGGCTCTAACTCGATGCTCACGCGTCCTACGGAAGTCCTCCAGATGGCATAGACGGTCGGCCGTGTTTGTCGTCCCGCAACGTTCATATCATCCTGTGGGGTCTCATTTAGCGAAGGTTATTTATCCGCAGGGTGTTTCTGAGTTTAATCATGTCCAAGATTTTGTAACAAGTAAGAAAAATAAAGCATACTAGTAATTTTCAGTGTGGTGATGTTGATTCCCAGACCATGGCAGACCATGCCACCAGCAGGCAACATCAGCTGCTTTGAATACGAGGAAAATGAACTGCATCCTGAATACCCCCTTCCCAGTTGGATCCTTTGCCAGCTCCGATTGCTTGGTGGTTCAGTACAATTCCACAGGCAAAATCGTGAAAGGTGACGAATTCTACTAGACCATTAACAAGGAGAAGTTCAAGCGCCCGCTCCACTAGATCAGAACAGCATTGTGTCATCCCATATAACGACCATACATTTATTCAAGCTGCACCTCACATTATCATCAAAGCGAGAAATGCTACCCGTCGTTTCACATTACAGTGTCTTACACTCCCAGCACCACACAAGGACGCAAAGAACAAGGTGGGCTTGAGTGCGTTATACATGCTCTACTAATGTCTTCTTTCAACCAAGGTTTCTGCATAGCTGTGCCGCACCAACGAAACCTGAGCTGGACAATTTTTTTTTGTAGACGAGTCGCAATGGTGAGTTGCTTTCGTGATGCTAATCAGGGCTTCATCCCTACTGTGAGCTGTGCAAGTGGGTACACAAAGGAAAGCATTCAATGTTCATACCAATGAATGTCTGCGGAAGGGCCACCCACTATAGGAGGCGGCACCACTGAACTTCTGTACACATAGCCTATCAAGCTCAGCGGCCGCGTCATCAAAAATAGACAAATTCAACCACTGAAGCCCGTCAGGGCGATAAGGTGCGGACGAGTCATTTCAAAGAGGCAGAGATCACAACGAGGCTCATAGAAGGAGGGCAACGAGGCAGAAGATGCTTTTAGTCGAGGCTTGATGGATAAAGGGTCGGTTTCCAGGTACCCTGTTATCAGTCGGACCTTCCTCGGTTCCTTCTATGAGCAAACAAAGTCCGAACACCCTCACGGCATTCAGGACGAAAAGACCCCAGACTCTACTCGACATGTTCGCTTCAGTTTAATGTTGCAGCCATCTATATAACTGGCGTCAACATATCCTCCGCACATGCTTGCTCCTCCAGTGACTTATGTTGTCATTGTCCTTCCTTCGTTACGGTCTCTCCTACAACTTCGTATTGTTTTCATTACCAATGATCTCAGTTGCTGACGTGGTGTTTCCTGTTCACAGTCGCTGACGTGGCAGTTAATCATCTTCAGACATTGTGTTATTTTGTATCCTAGCATGTAGTAGTGACATTGATGAATACATCAAGTTGACTCCTTAAAAACGCGAAGCCTACTCATGGCTGTAAAACGGGACAAGCAAAGAGATATGCGATAACGCGAAGCACACAACTGCGAAGCCTGCTCGTGGCTGTAAAATGGGTCAGAGTGTCTTGTTGTGGGCTGAGTTGATTGAGGTTTGGCCGCGGGTGGCGCATATTTCAAAGTTGAACATATGGAACCGACGGCGCCTCGCTGAGAATGCACCAATGCTGCAGCGCTGAACGGGGAGTGTTGCTCGAAGCACGGCCAGTGTGTCCATTGGGTGTGGCTGTAACGCGCGAGTGTTGTTTGGGTATTGTTCGCAAAGAGATTGAGCTTACTGGGAGTATCCGCGCCAGGCCGCAACTCTAAGCCTCGGAGGCCTTGTATCTCAGTGTCTTCAAGTGCCTTCCGAGTCGATTGCTGGTGGTGAAAAAGTACGAGGGTTGTTTGGATAAGTGTTCACTGGATTTATTGCAATACATATATAAACTAAACATGCAGTTTGCCACTGAGTAGAAAAGCTAATGCAACAGCGTACAAAGAAAATCTTCCAAAGACCGAGTGCAACGTTGGCAACAACACAAGTGTGGAAAGACGAGTAGGATAGAAAAGGCAGATTAAGGGGTGGGGGGCGAAGCCTACTCATGGCCGTAAAGGTGTCGAGCGGAGGGTTAAGTTGACTGGAACGAGAATACCAGCGCCTAAGTATTCCTGAAGTTAAAAAATAAGGAATGCTCTAGATTCCAATGAGTGGGTAGATACATTAGGACCAAGCTCGCGAGGAAAAAGCACATTACTGATCTGAAAAGTCAAAGTCAGCATTGGGAGCTACATATTGATTATTGCGGTTGTCGAGGTCTTTTGTGATATCCGTAAGGTTCCGTGTTCGTACCTTATTTCCTCAAGGATTGAAGGAACCGAGGAAGGCCCAAAAGGGTCCGAGTGATATTAATATGAACTCTTTGACAGGGGTGATGAGATCCGGATCGTGGAGAAGCGGAAGATCCGGAAGAATTCAAAGCTAAAACAAGAGGTGTGATGTAGTAGAAGAGGGTATGAAAGTGCCGAACAGTTGATCCGTCATGCATCATGGGCGGCCCCCGAATGAGTAGAATGTCTGGCAAATTATCCACTAGTCTGTAACAAGGAGGAGAGTTGTATCTAATTAGACTTAGTTATAGGTGCACTGCTCCCATGAGGTACAGGAGTACTAATAGCGAGCGTTCAAGATGTTTGATATACAAAATCTTGAAACCTCCTCCCCAAAACCTCCATTGAACAATGAGCTTACTTCTCTGCATTCTCTGCCTTGTTCGAGTGATCCAAGCTGCACCTACTACTAATACCAGTGATAGTGCTGAGTCCCTGTGGTCCTCTGAATCGTCAGCATGTGCAAACCAACGAACCTTATGGGGCATTATCTCTATGTGTGCTTTGACTCTGCTCGCATGCATTTACAGTGCCATTCACCCCAACATTCCGAGCCCTGAGGACAGCTCCATTCGCATTTTTTTTGTGGCGGGTTGTTACCATGGGACTCGCACTACTCGCTCCTGACCTGCTCGCTGCATGTGCTATGTGCCAGTGGCTCTGGGCTCGTCAAATTACAGCACAGGTTAAGGAGTCACATCTCAGTGTTTGCTATCATCCACAAGAGAAGGTGAGTCTCGTTAACACGTTGTCCTGAACATGGCTCTTATAGCTTGCTGCTTCTTAAGTTCATGATGGCACGGTGACTCAGGCTCTCGTAGCGCATACTAGTAAAGGTGAACTATGCGGACTAGTGTTTCTTCAGCAGTTCATAGTACTTCAATTCAGCATGTGAGGGAAACCATACTCTTGCGGAGTCATCCAAGGAGTGGTTGAAGGTCTACCGTGTTTCAGAGCAATCAAAAAGTAAGATCAACTTGTGCTCTCTCAAACCATACCTAAAATATTGTTCATGCACATCTTTAGATTACGAATGGACTGAGACTCACAGTTTCTTTGCGCTGATGGGCGGTTTCATGCTTTATGTGGATGGGGAGCCCTACCATATACTATTGCCCAACCAACTTCTCCGACTGATACGTGCTGGATCTATCGATTTCCCTACCCTGACGGCAAAGGAGATCCGCGACCGTAGCAAAGGGAATATGATATCGAAAGGATTGGTCATCCTTCAGGTCTCTTGGTTTATTATGCAGCTCATTTCTCATGCCATTTATCACCTCGAGACCACACAGATTGAGGCGGCAACACTCGCTTTTGCGGTTCTCAATTTCATTACCTATGCTATGTGGTGAAACAAGCCTCTCAACGTACAATTTTCTCATCCAGTCTACTGGAAGTCGTCCGAGCCCAAACCGGCAGATGACTATTTTGATGAGTATGTCTGTGCCTCAATCAATTCTACCACTGCTGATTATGTCCCTCTTAGTGTCCCTGAACATGATGACCCTGAGGCGGTGCATTCAGAGACGGTTATTGCTTCACTCATCAACTCAGTGCTGCTCGTTGGCGGCGTTGATGCCATGTCCCCTCAAAAGTTACAAGTTCCAACATTTGATAATATGCACAACATCAACCTAAAACGTTGGGAAGGTAATCTTCTTACGCTCGCTGGAGTTACCATGTCAATTCTCTTTGGTGGCATCCATTGTACTGCTTGGTTCTATGTCTTCCCCACATACGAAGAGGAGGTCATATGGCGCGTGTGTGCCATCACTATGATTGTCGCACCCTTGCTTGCTTTCGTGGTGGCCTTCCTCTTCGAGTATATACCAACAGCTGGCAAAATTGACGAAGTAGTGAGATCCATGTTTCCCATGGCATGTATCGCATTGTACTCCACATCGCGTTCTATCCTCTTCATACTCATGTTCACCACTTTACGCAACCTTCCTCCTGACGCATACAAGACGGTGTCATGGACTAGTTTTGTACCACACCTGTAGTTCCTGCTCATGGTACATGTTATGCACTTTATACATTTGTGTTTGTGTAATAGGCCGCCTTTAGGCAATAGCATTCTTGTGTCAGTGCTATGGTAGATTGATTCGATATCTATTTGTTCTGATGTTGGAAAAATCATAATCATGTAAGTAACTTTCCACAGGGACTGTCAGATTCCGCTACAGGGTTTTCTCTAGATGAAGCATAACACATGAGAAGCAGCAATGAATTATATGAGCGCTCAGTGAAAATGATGCCACGAGTCACGGCCACGTACCTAGTGCTGCCGTGGTCCGGTCCCGAACTGTGGTTCGAACCTGACCATTGGTCAGGTTCGTCCATGGTTTGGTCCATGGTTCCAAGTTTTGGCTGGACCGAACCAAAATGAGGTTCGCGGTCCGCTGTCTCCCGGACCATTTGGACATAGGTTCGGACCTTCCCGAACCGTTCGGAACCCCGAACCGAAGCGTCCTTGTGATATTGGCGAGGCACACACTCATGCTCACTTCAACTTCGACATAGGTTCGGACCTTCCCAAACCGTTCGGAACCCCAAACTGAAGTGTCCTTGTGATATTGGCGAGGCACACACTCATGCTCACTTTGACTTTGACTTTGACTTCTCCCCCCATGGTCACATCGACTTCTAGGATCCTCAAGCTTTGCATTGACGTTGAATTCTGTTCGGACGCTCGCATCCTGCACCCCAGCTGTCTGAAAAAGCTCAATTTTCCTTGGCCTTGAGCTTCATAGTCTACCCGGGCCAATTGACAATATTAATGTCGCGTGAAATCATATTGAGCTGGAGCATCAATCCAACAGCATGTGCAGAACCTATCCTAATTCAGGTGAATCTAGCTAAGGGCATAATCGCAATCATTCCAGAATTTGATTACACGAGGCAAGCATATGGCCTATGCATGTACGATCAGGCTGTGTTATCCACAGCTAGTAATACCTGTCAAGTACCTCAACCACATTCCTCTCAATGGCCATCACAGAGATGTGGTCAGAATAAGGCGGACCTAAATGACCTCGAAGTATGACTATATCGACTAAGCTGCCATCTGTGCAACGCGCCACCTGCCTGTAATTATCTTGAACAATTCTGGAGGAATTCCTTAGTTAGGTATAAACCTTTTTGATGCATGCTTGAATTCATCTGACATTGAGCCGTATTTAGCATGCTGCAGGGGATCTCAGCCCAATTGACAAAGTTGCACCAACATGGTCTCGCATACACATCCGCCACATGAGCCATCACCGAATGCTCCAGTCAAATCAATTGTTACCTCGCAGAGTGTCTTCTGCACCTCATTTCAGGTCCGCCTCGCCAGCGTAAAATCCATCTTAGGGAAGCTTACTCATTAAATTCTCCTTAGCAACTGAATAAGATGCTCCAAGCTCTGTTTGAAAGTGATTCGATCGAAGCTCGAATTCAGAGGCGTTACCTGGAAGGAGGATTGTATGATTTATACATCGACAAGGGCACTGAAGTAACCCAACTGACAAGCCATGGATGGTCAAGCATTGAAGCAGGCACGAAGATTGTCATGAGGGTTATCATCGAACAGTTGACGAGATCATCCGAGTCTAGAGTTCTCTACAAATGCCATTTCTGTGGCGCTGAGAATGACCTTGGTCTCGGGCTAATAGAGTATTTGCGTGAATGGCAGGCTGGTTGCTCGATTGATTGGTGAGTACATTATCTTCTGGGGCCCAACGGTGTCTAACAACCGGAAGTCGAGTATGCAAACAATGGTTTCAGGTCTCCCATGTACCTTGCAGTGCGAAGCAGAGGACTCGATCCTCTGACATTGATTCCATTGACATGACTGATACAGAAATGCGCCTCATTCACAATTTTCATGTCCAGCAAAGTGTATGTTATCGCCGCAGCCTTTTTTTTTTCATTGCTGGGATTTTTTTGGTTTGGTTCGTGTTCGAACCCAAAAAAAACCGAACCTGACCGTTCTGAACCGTTCACAAAGGTTCGGTCTGAGGTTCATCAAGTCTGGTAGAACCGGACCCAGGTTCGGTTCTTGGTTCTTGCTCAACTCCCTCTGAACTGGACTGAACCAGACCGCGGCAGCACTACATGTACCGAGCTCTCACCAGTGATTGCTTTGCCAGATCTGTGGGCTTCTGGAGGAGGATCTGGCCTATGGTCTTCGCACATCACTTGTTGTTGAAGATTTGTATCAGTGCGAGCGAAGTGGGGTGCAAGACTTGAGGTTATGCGAAATGGGATTGGACCTATCAGAATTAGATACCCTTGACCTTGGAGGCATGGCCAACATGTTGACTCCTTGAGGGCATTAAAATCATTCGGCGAATTCCTAGGGAAAAACATCAAACAGGGTATTGAAAGCTCATGTTCAAAATGAATTGGCATGTTGCGCACGATGGAGTGATCAGCATGTGCAACTGTGTACTTGAAGAAACAAATCCAAATGGCAAGACAAAGCGTCGTCTGGCAGTTCATGGAAGTGAAGAAATTAGTACAAACCTTCTGATAGTCAGACGACCCTTTGCTTCCTCCCCTATGTTGGACAGTACTAACTAGTCTAAAGGGCCCCTGCCCTGTCTACATCTCTGGATTCGCGAATGCCCTGATGTGAGGTTGCCCTCTGCCAGTCTGCCGTTCCTGCCAGCCATTTTAGATGCACAATCCGTGTGAAGACGAGTTTGACTGCTCTCTTCCTATCGTGGATTTCATAAGTATCTGATACGTGGGGTTTCTTTATAAACTGAAGTGCATACTTGACTGTCCCTAGGGACAGTCTGTACATGAAGCTAAGAAAGAGATGCGTTAGTGGTGCAGATTGGTGGAGTTGTCCTGATCCCAATCTCATCTCCCATCTGATTCTTTCATGGCCTGCTGGGTCCTAGGCCTGTGTCTCCATGTGGGGGTGGGTTAAATATTTGAGGGGAGGGGGGATGCATGGTATGGTCATTGATTAGGTTGTGAGGGCGTGTATCGCAGTGTACGTGGGTGAGTTCATTATGGGAGGTTACTTCTACTTCTGCGTCTGTTCTGCATGGGTGTTGTCATCATCGGTCAGTTCGAGGAGGGAGAGTCATGTCACTGAATGTGGGCTTCAGTCTGCCTGTGCTATTTACGTATCTGAGGAAGTGTTTCATGGCTGTTGGGTCTGTGAGCAGATAGGGGAGGGAGGTGGCTTTGCGACCGAGCTTCTGATGAAGGATAAAGTGTTCCTGATCGTATTGAGGGCAGTCAAAGAGGAAATGATGGATTGTTTCTTCTGTGTCCTGGCATATTGGACAGTTGGGGGAGTCACTTCACTTGATGCGGTGGAGGTGTTGGTTCAGAGTGATATGTCTGGTGTGGAAGTAAATGTATAGACCTATGAGGCGCTTCAGGAGGTCTGCGACGAGTTTGGTGAATGAACGTGATAGAATGTTGGGGTCTAGTAGCTGCATGCGAACGTAGTGCGGTGATTTGGTCCACATGCGTTCCCATCTTCATCTGGTGTCTTTCTTGAATGCCTGTTTAATGGCAGAAAGGCTGCTGGGGAGGTGTCCTGTTGACAGATATTGTGGTAGTTTGTCACCCATGCTGTTATTCTGCCAACTCTCTGCCACTTTCTTTGCTTCCTCATCTGCTAGTTCATTTCCCTCCACTTCACTGTGACCTGCTATCCAACGGACTGTTACTGAGTATCCTCACCTGCGGTTGGTTCTTTTGATGTCCATCATCATGTGTCTAGAATGTTCGACTAAGTAGTGTCCCACTTTCGGTGTCGTGCTCTCACCAAATTTCAGTACTGCTTGGTTGTCTGCTAAGATGGAGGCCAGGAATGTCAGGTGGTGCTCGGTAGATAATAGGTGGGCGGCTAGAGTGAGTCCTACTGTTTCTGCTTCGTATACTGTATGTTCTTTGTCAGTACCTAGATGAAAGCGGAGGACGTGGGGGTCACATCCTTCTCGGATTGGTACAGCCGCTGCGCCTATCTTACCATTGTGACCAGATCCATCACTGAAGATTTGAATACTGTCGTTGAGTTGAGCTTGTTCATTGATGGATTCTTCTTTGGAGTTGGTGATGTGGACTGAGTATGGGCAGCGGTATGATGGGTGTTGAATGGCGCCAGTAAGGGTCTCTATTTCCGCAGGGTTGATTTTGAATGAGTGTGTTAATCAGTGGAGTGAGGTGCGGTGTTTCTGGACATATCGTTTGGCGGTTCGTCTGACGTGTACGTATAGGGGGTGAGTTGGAGGGTGAGTGGCTAGTCAGACTATTGTGCGATGACAAGTATTCTGTAGAAGGAGGGGTATAGGGAGGAGGTTGGCGTGGGCTTCGAGTGTGTCTGTTGCGGTAGATCTCATGGCTCCGGTTATTGCGATTGCTGCTATCCATTGTACTGACGTCATCTTTCCCACTATACCTAGGGAGCCCCTCTGGCTTATATCCGATCCGGTACAGTATACTGGCATGAACCACACGTCTGCGGCGTATAGCATTTTTGGGACTGTGACTGCTTGATAGAGTTGACATGTTAGTTTCATCGGCATTCCATTGGCGGTGGAGGATAGGCAGCGTAATTGCAGTGCGTAAGCGGTACCTTTGGCAATGGCGTAGGCAACATGTTCTTTCCATCTCAACTCCTGATCTAGAATTACACCTAAAAACTTGTGAGTGGCAGACGGGTAAATTGTACTTCCTCTAATGGTCATGGGTGGTTGTATCTTGGTCCTGTTCATAGAGAAATGGATCAGCGCGAATTTGCTCGTTTCAAACTTTGAATTGTGGTCTCTTGACCAGTCATAACCACCGTTCTTTCTTTCCAACATGCTTTTCAAAATGCGGTGTGTCTCATGAAAGGATTTGCCTATGGCGATGAACGCTGTGTCGTCAACAAAGGCAAGAGTGGATTCCTGCTTGCCTCTGTTCTTGGCCACATCTACTAAATCAGCATTGTATATAATATATAGGATCATCGAGAGAGGGTCGCCTTGACCTATACCGTTCGTTTGTTAAG